GAGTTTGCAAAAGTTGTCATCGAAGTACCTTGTGCTATAACCTGTATGAACAAAAAGAATGTCTTCCTAGAGAGCTTACAATATAGGTAAAGTGAATCTTGGGTAAAGTGTCAACATTTATCCTTAACTTTTCTGAACCCAAAGATGTTTCCCTATTTGTATTCGGTTAGCTGCTTACTTTTTGGACTAAAACAAGTTTTTACCTTTTGTTGGCTGTATTGGCTCTGTAATTGGTGTGTGTGAGCCAGAAAACACAGCCTAACTTTCTGATCCGAAGTTGATAAGTTATCAGAACTGGCATTAAAAAAAAAAAATCTTGCTTACAAGAAAATGCCATGCTGGTCTCTTCAGAGTGTAATCGCATGCTAATTAAATTTAAGACTTATGTTTACATGGAATAGAAGTATCATTTGATCTTTGAGAAACATAAGTTTATTTGCGTGGCTAGTTATTGCATTCCCTTGTAGAACTAGAGCATTCTTTCGTAAGTAAGGGCTGGGGAAAGGTAAAATCACCTTCTCTTCACAAAATGAAGTAAAGGGGCAGGATAATGTTGGTGGGTGTTCCTTTGCCCCAGAATATACATGGATGCGTGCAAAAGCTTGTTCTTACCCAAAAGTATTATTTGTGTATATGTTGTTCAGGGTTAAGTCCATCAAATACAAATTGAGGACGTGACACATTTGTGGCACAGCAAAGTGCTAAAATTCTTAAGTGGCTTGCTCGTGTGCAGTAGTTTGTTCAACTAATTCTGACTATGTAGGAGTTTTCATGAGAGAGAAAATAGAAATGCTACAAAATCACAAACTGGCATCAGGTTTCAGGAGTAGAAATATTACTTGAAACTAGTTTTCATTCTATCTAATATAAATGTAAATGGAGAGTGTAGTGGCCAGATTTGATCAGACTTGGGGATTGTAAAGGGTACCTTCATATATACTTGCTAAAATAGAACAATTAGATAGTTCAAACAATACTTATTGCCTCTGCAGGACAGAAATGTGAATTCCAGGATGCTTATGTCTTAATCAGTGAGAAGAAAATTTCCAGTGTTCAGTCCATAGTTCCAGCTCTTGAAATTGCCAATGCTCACCGTAAGCCTTTGGTCATTATTGCTGAAGATGTTGATGGTGAAGCCCTCAGTACTCTCGTCTTGAACAGGTAAGGCTTGAATAGGTGTACCTCTGTAATAGAATCTTGTCAGTCTACTTCAGAGTCAGAAAACTGTGTCTTTAAAAACAGCAGATGTTCCTGCACGGTTTACTCTGTAGAGCAGTAGGACCAAATGTATCTGTCTGAACTTGACAACTTTTGCTTCTTATTTAGGTCTCCTCTCAGCAATGCAGACAAACAGTAACAGCTGTGAATAGCCCCATTCATCTAATTTGGGTGATAACTCTGAATCCTAGTGATTTGATGGTTTCATTGCTAATCAGTTTAGTAGAAAAAGCCAATTAATGGGCTTGTGGGATCCATTAAGATGGCATTTTTGCTTTGTTTGTCTTACTTACACTAAAATATCTTCATTTAAAACATTCTTTTGTTCTCTCAGCTACTGTAACAGGGAAGTGTAAACAGTTTAACACTTTGTTAGAATTAGTGTTCTCACTGAACTTTTTCTTTTCAGATTAAAGGTTGGCCTCCAGGTTGTTGCTGTAAAAGCACCAGGTTTTGGTGACAATAGAAAGAACCAGCTTAAGGACATGGCAATTGCTACGGGTGGTGCTGTAAGTAAATTATATGCATGTGTTTGTAAATATGTAAAAATGTATTCACTTTGTGGCCAAGCACCCATTTGATTTTAACTTCCTACAAAATGCTTCAGAGGATAACCATTTGAGGGATTGGTAACAGGGTACAACCCTTTTCAGGTCACTGATTGACATTTGGGCCAGGTTGGACTGTCATGCCATTGTATAGCATGGTAAGCGGCCAGTTGTTCTAGCTGGTTATTAGGTGTCCGCTTCACATCTGCAGTTAGGGTGACCTGATATTTCACTCTTGTGATCTGGACACATTGGGGGGGGGGAGAAGACAGACACGGGTGCACAGCCCCAACCATAGGCACACTGGTCCGCCTGGCCCTGTGCTACCAGCGTGCCCCTTCCTGTTGGGGGTGGGCCTATGCTGCACCACACAGCTCCCCTGCCCAGCGCCCCCTGGATCCACTATGCCCAGAGCCCCCTACGACCCTTCCACCACAAATGCACAGTGCTGTGTGCACACACACCCAGCTGCCCAGAACCCCTCACTCGCTAGTTTCCCCACAGCCCCACCACCACAACTACACAATGCCCCACACAGACCCCCAGTACCCTGACGCACACAGATCTCCCCCAATGGCCCCCCTTCCCTGGCCGTACTCACCAGCCCTGCTGGGAGGTCTCTGGCTCCTAGGGTGAGAGCAGCGAGAGGAGTCTCCAGATGCTCCACGTGCTGTGCCCGCCACAAGCGCAAGTTCCGTGGCTCCCATTGGCCGGGAAAAGCACCAGTGGTAGCTGCCAGAGCCATGGAGTGGGGCTTGCAGGTGCCGGCAGCACACAGAGCCCCCACCTTAAGAGTCAGAGGGACCTGCCAGGGGGCGAGGTGGGGAGTCCCGGTGGTGCTTACCTGGTGTAGCTCCTGTCCCGGGAAGCATCGACCGGGCAGGTCCCTCTGGCTCCGAGAGTCACAGATTGTGGGGGCAGAGGGCTCTCTGCCCGCTCCCGGTGCCTGCAAGCTCTGCTCTTGCTGGCAGATGGGCGCCAGGAGCTGCCCCAGGAAGCAGTAAGTGATGACATTGCGGCTGTGGTTCAGACGGTCCCGATATTGGGACAAAGGGCGTCCCGACCAACGTAAGGTCAGGACACGGGACAGGTCCCCTAAAATCAGGACGTCTGGTCACCCTATCTGCAGTTCTTGTTAATAGTCTCTTCAACATATTGGATGGACATGGAACTGTTCTTGTTCTTAGGTCATCTCTCCTTAAGAGACGCTTGATGTGACAGGGCGCTGTGAGAGAACTTGCACTGTGGCTGGCTTTTTGCCTGTTTTGGAACTACTGTATTGTAAAAAGCTTTAATATGCAGGGCAGTCAGATTGGCACCTTGCAGAGTCTGATTTATGCACTTTTTCATTTAAAATGTTAATGTTTTATGTATGAGTAAGTTTTGAGAGCTGTAGTGCAATGCAAAATGATCTGTTTGTGATCATTAAATAGCTTTTTCACGGAGTGCCTTTTATCACATCTATACCTCCCAAGTAATCTTCAGGTTAGTAGCTAGGTGGCGCCCAGGAAACTTATCAGAGTTGTTCTGGAAGTTTTTACTACTTATAAAACTGAACAAAAGCATTACCAAAATTAATGTTAGTGAGCATGTCGTGACTTCTAGAGTTTGGTCTTAAGGAGCATGTAGTGTTCTGTTGGGTAGTTTAATTTTATTTGTTTTTTAAAATCTATGGCAGGGGCAACTATAATATTAGAAAGCCATCTTTATATTTTTTTTGTATACTAGTCTAAAAACACGGCAGCATTATACAAGACCCAAACTAATTCTTGAAAATGATAGGCTTCACTGCAGTGTAAAAGGAACAGGATAAACAAAATGTAAAGTCCCCTAAATTCCATTATAATAATTGCAGGCATCAGTAACATAGGGAAACTCCTTGAAATGGCCTGACAGTGTCTCTGTAACACAACTATCACACCTGACATGCTGGAGATAAATGTGCAAACTATTCCTTTTAGCTGGTAACTGCTGAAGGTCTGTAAATTAGAATTTTTTTTTTTTTTTAATGGTGGTCAAATTCATCACTATATACAAGCATTGATAACAGAGTTAGGCCTGTCTATACAGGGGAACTTTCTGGTATAGCTGGAGCAGAATAACTATTCCATTAAAGCTATTCAACTCTCCCATGTGGCAAGTCTGTTTTGGAATAAAATCACCTATTCCAGAAGAATTATTCTGCTTCAGAAGCAAAGTAACTATTCCAGAATCGTGTCCATATCAGGGAGTTAAAACAGAATAGTTATTCTACTATAGCTGTGCAGGGAAATGTCTCCATGTAGATCAGGCCTTAGCGTCCAAGCTTTCATATGATCTATTTCAGGTATTTGGAGAAGAGGGTTTGGGTCTCAATCTAGAAGATATTCAGCCTCATGACTTTGGTAAAGTTGGTGAGGTCATCGTGACAAAAGATGATGCCATGCTTCTGAAAGGGAAGGGTGAAAAAGCTCAAATTGAAAGGCGTATCCAAGAAATCATTGAACAATTAGAAGTTACTACAAGTGACTATGAGAAGGAGAAACTAAATGAACGACTGGCCAAACTCTCTGATGGAGTAGCAGTACTAAAGGTGAGGAACTTTTAAACTTCCTTATTAGACTAAAACAGCGGCTCTCCAACTATGGAGCAGGCCTCCCAAGGGAGGTGCAATTCGTGTGGTGTTTTGGTTTTTTTGAGAGAGCTCTGGCTGTCAGTTCTAGGTGGCTGGGGCTTCTGCAGAAGGGGCCATGCACATCTGGGAGGTGGGTAAAGGGGACAGCTGGAGCCCCGCCATTGAGGCTCTCCTCCCCTTACTTGGAGGTGGCAGGGCTCTGGCTGTCCAGCCTCGGATGGCGGCAGCAGCACAGAAGTAAGGGTGGCAATAGGATGCTATGTCTGCTGGGAAACGTGATATTGACTAATATCACTTTCCACTTTTCCACCTTCTGTACTGCTGGTGCAGCGCTGCCTTCAGGGCTGGGTTCTTAGCCAGTAGCTGCTGCTGCTCTCTGCTCTACCTTCAAGCTGGGTGGCGGGATATGTATTGGGGTGGGGGCATAAACTACTACAGACACAGAAGGGGGCACTGATCAAATAAGTTTGAGAACCCCTGGACTAGAACTATGCTATACCAAATAGACAACAACAGCAAAATTTTACTTTTCACTAAAGATCCATTTTAGCAGTCACATCACTTTGACTCTTTAAATGCTTAGCAGAGGTGTCCTCTTTAGTCTCCATTTCTAAAGTGCCAGAAAAACCCCACTACTTTAGTCAAACCTGATAAATTGGACCTCTGCTACATGTTTTTCCTTGTCAGGATTGCTTAAAATAGGGTGACATTCCTGTTAGAAATTACATTACTTTACATGCCTTTTTTTTCCCCCTTGAGAGAAAAACCTCCCTTTCTAGTTGAAGCAATTATAGTGAAGGGTGTATGGTTATATCTTTGGTACTTAAGATTTGTCATGGAGAAGCTGTGCCCTATAACAACCCTTGCTGGCTGAGCATGGCACTACCAAAACTCCCAGCTCTCCACCCACTGGTCTGTGCTGGGGGGATGTGGCTTACCCCTCCAGGCAAGTTACAAACTTCACCCCTTCTGACATAGCAAAAGTCCAACTACAAAGTCCCCCAAACAGAAAAGCTCTTCTACTCTTTAGGTGTTGTCGTCACACCACCCTGTTCCCATCCGCTTTCTGGGCTACTTTTGAGTCCTTTTTCTGACTAAGGGATAGAGTATTCTACCTCAGTCTGGTTCCCCTGCTGTACCATTCTGGGTCCCTACTGGGCTCTGTTCCTTCTATCCTTTAGAACAGGCTGGCTCCTTAGGAGTACCTGGTCTCCTGCGGACCTGGGCTCAGTGGAGCTTGCCTTCTCCCTGTAGTTCCAACCAGTGAGTCTCTCAGCCTTCTTATAAGGCACAGGTGTCCATTAACCTATCACCTCTTTAATCCCACCCCTTCAGGCTGGGAAGCAGCTAATTAATTATGGCACAGGTGGGGCTGATTCATCTTTCCTCTAAGGGGCCAGGACCCTGTGACAATTTGCAATTTAACAACATTTATGTAATCCCTTAATGCTTCCCTAGGTGCAGGAGTGGGGTTTAGTTGGTCACATAGGACCCAACACTGTTGACATTAAAGTTAATAAAGACTGCTATCTTTATAACTTCGGATCATCGTACTTGATACTCTTATTGGGTGTCTGAGTTGGATTTATTTGCCACTTTGAAGGGTCAAAACTGGCAGACATTCACTGAGACTGGGGAGCACCAATATGTGCCAGTGGTCTTCCTTTTAAGATTAGTAAATGTGTATTCCAGAGTAGTGCCAACTGCAATTGTCCCTTACCTGGCTGAGCGTGTTAGTTCAAGAGAGGCAGTTTGGCTCACTATTTAAGTTTGGAGGCTGTGGAAAGGCCAAACTGCTATATGAAGTGGTGCTAAGTTGGTAAGTAGAAATTGCCTAGTAGCTAAGGCACCTAGCTATCTGTGGGTGCTCTTAGACTAAAATGAAGGTCTTAATTCTTTGTGGCCACTAAGAATCCACAAGATGCTGTTTACATGAATAGGGCTGTAAATCATTATCTACAGGCTTAATTTCCTGAGACAAGGTGGGTAAGGTGTTTGTTGTACCAACCTCTGTTGGAGAGAGACAAATCTTTGAGCTTACACAGATCTTCTACGGATTTCATTTTCTGTCACTTCAACTGGATAAGGGATTCTTACTCTGATCCATTTTTACAGCAGGAATACATATTTTTGCTTTTCAAGGATGGATGAAGTGATCCGTTTACACCTTTAGAAATATAAAGCATCTTAATTGCAAGAGGCTCTCTACAACTAAAGTACATATAATTTTTTGAAAAAAGAAAAGGAGGTCTTTGTGGCACCTTAGAGACTAACCAGTTTATTTGAGCATGAGCTTTCGTGAGCTGTAGAAATTACAGCTGTAGCTCACGAAAGCTCATGCTCAAATAAATTGTTAGTCTCTAAGGTGCCACAAGTACTCCTTTTCTTTTTGCAAATACAGACTAACGCGGCTGTTACTCTGAAACCTATAATTTTTTGACCAATTTCTTTCTTGCTTTTTGGCATTCAAATGGAAAAGTCAGTTTGTTACTGATGTTTAACTGGCCCGCAGTGCTTCTGAAGTCTGAAGCACTTCCTTGCCTCTGAGAATGTATGGGGACTTTACGCAACTGACGAGATGTGGCTCATTTACTCTAGGTTGGTGGCACAAGTGACATTGAGGTGAATGAAAAGAAAGACAGAGTTACTGATGCACTGAATGCTACTCGTGCAGCTGTAGAGGAAGGTATAGTTCTAGGAGGTGGTTGTGCATTGCTTCGATGCATCCCAGCACTCGATGCTTTAACGCCAGTCAATGAAGATCAAAGAATTGGTAAGCAAACTACTCAAGAATGGATTTAGTTTGAAGATTAACATTTTCCTTGTGATACCACTTACCTTCAAAAACAGCTGTTCTCTCTAGGTTAGAATACAATTCATATCAATGAGTCCTTTATGTCTGGTTAACGAGGAACCTTTGACACTCCTGATGATCTGCTATATATTAAAAATGGGAAGAAGCGTTCCTTCTGGTCTAATTTAGAAAAAGCAGGCAAACAGCTATTCTGAGACTGGTATTTAATGCAAGAGAACTAAACTATTACTTTTCTAAACAGTTAAACAAAATGGGTGTCTCATAACAATTGTAGTTAAAATTAAAGATTGAAAACATTTCACTTAATTTGGGGAATCTAATGTGACAGTGGCTTCTAAAGATTCTTTATCTCAGAGCAGATCATGCTGTACCAAGTTTTCCTAACCATGTTTTGAGTGGGGAGTGTTTTGTCTTTGGTTAGATAAGTTCATAGCTTATTTTCAAGAGTGATAATGGTAATTTAAACAGGTGCTTGAGCCTTGTACTAGTAGTGACCTCTCTTGTAATGCTGCCCAGCAGTAGGTCATTACCTAACACTTTCCTGGAAGAGGCAGAAAATCGTTTTTTCTCCTTGTAACTTTTTAGCACATCAATAAGTTAGAGTACTTGACTTGCAGTAGAACGCATGGAGAATGCACTGTATTTAGAACACTAAAAATACTTTTTACAGGTATAGAAATCATTAAGAGAACACTGAAAATTCCAGCAATGACTATTGCTAAGAATGCAGGCGTTGAAGGATCGTTGATAGTTGAAAAAATCATGCAAAGTCCACCTGACACTGGGTATGATGCAATGCTTGGAGACTTCGTAAATATGGTAGAGAAAGGAATCATTGACCCTACAAAGGTAATGTGACCTTTTTTTTTTCTCCAAAGAACATTATGGTTGTACCTTATTTTAATGGAGGGAGAACTAGTATTGAATTTTTTTTTCCCCCCCCCATTCTCTTAGGTTGTAAGAACTGCCTTGATGGATGCTGCAGGTGTTGCTTCCCTTTTATCCACAGCAGAAGCTGTAGTTACTGAAATTCCTAAAGAGGAAAAGGAAGTGCCCATGGGCGGAATGGGTGGAGGAATGGGAGGTGGCATGTTCTAATTCCTGGAATACTGATCCATGGTGAACTGTGATGGTTGAGACTGACAGTTTGCTAAAACTTCAGAAGTCAGTGCAAGGGGTGGATAGTGACTGAAGTGAGGCTGGTGTTTAAAAGAATCACTGTAAACATTAGTTACTGGATTTCATTTAACTCATGTAACTGTTTACAGTCACTGTCCATGCCTACAGATAAATTATTTTGTATTTTTCAATAAAGATATTTGTACATTCCTGCTACTGGGTGCAAGATCCACATACGTGTTCTGCTTTAAATTTAATCAAATTAAGGCACTTGAAATTCTGTTTAATCAGAATTTATTGGTGCTTCCCACTACTAAGCAAAGTTCTGATGAAGTCATTGTGTGCAAGACTTAAATTGTACAGAGACAAATATACAATTATGTGACAACCTCTATGTAATAAAAGATTGTTCAAAGTTATTAAATGTATCGCCTTATTCACCTGTCCATAAACCTTTAACAATCAAACTTAATGCTAACAGGGATCACATTTAAAGTCTGCTAGAAATCTGACTGTTAGTGCTGGGAAGGGATGGAGTATTTGTTTAAGAAACAATCCTCCCCTCCATGGAGGGTGAGGTGTAGACCACAAGCTCAACTGACAGTCCTTAAGAAAAATTAATCTTAAATTTAATGTAGTTGAAGTAGTAAGCTATGGACAGGGACTTGTCACTCTGCCTATTGAGTACTAATCCTATTTCATGTATTGGATCCTTTTAGCAGCAGTGTTGGGAAAACTGAGGGTATGAAAGAATAAATTGCCTGTGATATTTCAAAAGGAATCTTGTGTTTTCTACAGGAGAATTAGCAGGTCTTGTAAAGTAAACTAGTACCCCCCAGGTTGAAAACTAACAATTTTGTATCACCAGACACTCTACTAGAACATGGAGAGGAGATTTTTTTTGTCACTGCTTTAAACACATTGGGGTGTATATTTTTAACACCTGAAGTTAAAGAATCATACCTCTGCAGCTGCATGAAGAGTGTTGCAACTCATGGGAAAGTGGGAGAACCCAGGGAAAGTGGGAGAAAATTTTCCTTCAGTTTAAAGTTTGCAGAGGGACAGAAAACTCAAGTCAGTCTCATAGTTCCATGTTCCCAGCAAACAGTGAAGCTATTGTATGGGGAGGGAAATTGTGCACTCATAGTGTAATGCCTGCAACTGATTTAAATCTACTCAGTTTAAGAATCTGAAGGGATTTACTTTTTCCTGGGATATCTACTCTATATACACTTAATACATCTAACTTTTCTGAAAGGGAAAAGGGGTAAATATTTCACTGATTTCAGACTTGATCTAATGGTAAAATTAAAACAGGAATTAGGCAATTCAATATAATATAGAAAAAATGCAGATCTCTTCATTCACTTAATTTATAGCTTTAATTTTTGAGACAATTTAGCTCCAGCTTGCTTTTGGGGAGGAGGGGGAATATAGACAGTTAAGACAAGGGAATAGCCCTAATGCCAGCCCATCAAATGCATTCAAGAATTCTTGGCATAATTTAACCCCTTTGCATTGTTTTAATGTTACAGTAATCTGTTTGATGGTAGCACTGAATGGGTGGATTTAAGTAGACTTCTTTTAAAGCTTCCTTTAATTGCTCACTTTAGACCTTTGTATTTAAGTGAATTACATATACTTTGTACAATGCCACACTGATTTAGTCTACATCAGCAAGTTGTAGAACAAGTAATTGCTGCTCTTAACTTCTGTTATGTGTCAGTTTATATTTTTACCACAGCTGCTAATCTAAGATGGCAATGCTTTGTCCACAGGAATCTTGTCAGTTAAAATGTATTGAAGCCATCTATTAATGCATTCTTCTTTCAGTCTTTTGACACACAAGTCTAGTATTCCTGATGCAGGGAAAAGTAGGAAGTTACAGGCAGCTGTCTTTTCCTGAACTTGTTTGGGTTGATACTGATACCATGAGAATAAGTTACATATGTTCAAAAACTGTTAATAACTTAAACTTCATACACTTATTACAAACACTGCAAAAAACTTAACAGTTTAGATAAGGCAGTAATGCTGATGTGCTGTTCATCATATAATCAAACTGTTTGGCAAGGTAAAGGCAATCTTGCTTGGCTAGCTGACAGAAGCTGCCACTCAGCTTGTTACAAACACCACACCCTGAATTGCACTTGAAGCTTGAATATTCCTCTATGTACATCTGGTTCCATCTTATATGCATGTTTTGTACAGCAGTATCACACAAAGCTAAGTTAAATAGATGCCCACAGAAAAGCACCTCTTATAAATAAGGTGTACAAATTAGAGTATAATAAAGGTAGAGAACTAACTTTTTTCCCTTTATGTGTGATGAATTTCATGAAACATTAGCTCCCGAGGTATACTAGTTTCTGGGCCATAGAGTTTGGATGCTCTTCTTTCAAAGGCAGCTACCATCTGTTTAACAACTTCATCAAAAAATAGTGTAGCAAGTTGAGAGTGTAGAAGTGAACGAAACTCAAAAGAAACCTGTTTGAGAAATCAAGAAGAAAGATTGTTCTAGCATCTATCATTTCAGTGACTTTGATAAAGCAAGATTAAATAATCTGTTTACTTAAGGGTATTTTTAATTGTATATCTAGCACAATTTAAAAAAAATTGTAAGAAGGGGAGATTTAACCCTATGCAAATGAAGTTTATATATCCCTCTGAAAAATATCAAGTGAAAACTCATGAGCCATTCAACCCAGTTCATTTTTAGATTGCATCTTTCATACATGCTACAGCCCAGAATACTTCAGTAATAATACAAAAGCACAATCACTATTTTAAAAAAAAAGTGAAGATGGGTGAATAATGCATGCAGTTATAAGTTCATGACTGAGGCAAACTGAGACCTAGGTAAATGAGAGGAAAAGTGTGAAAAAAGATTTGAATTCAGGTGAGTAAGGTCTGGCAGACATGGAGTTACAGCCAGAGATCATTTATGGGTGGCACTGAGCTAGATCCTGAAATGGAGAGAGAATGTGTAAACACAATTGAACACAAAAGGCGTTTCATTTTAACACTAAATCTAGTTTTTACCTTGACTTGTGGTTGTCATAATATGCTATAGCTACATTTAAAGCAAGGAAAGAATAATATGGCAATTAGGGAGGAAGACCAGCTGCTACTTTTCCACATCCCATCTTTCAGTGATTAAGGCTATAGCTTTAACTTTGCTGCAAACTACATTTGCTGCTCTCACCACCTTTGGATCCAAGTATTCCAATTAGTGAATGGTCTCTCTCTTAAACACAAAATGAGAACTGATTTTATACAGTACTAATGTATTAGTTATAAGCAGCAAGGCCTAAGACTACTACAGTCCCAGATTTTGGATCCTATCATTCTCTCTAACCATTTAACTATTCTTGCATTTAAAACAAAAATATCAGCATAAAGTAAGCATTAGGAAAGAGAAAGGAAGCTTAAATAACTCATGACAACCATGTTACTGTTTACATGAAATATAGCCTGTCATATTACTTGGTACTGTCCCTAGTTAGGGAACACTCATCACTATAAACTGGAATCTTGTCTTAACTCAGTTATATTGGTTTTGCATACACAAGTCACCCTAGTAAGAGAAATCTTTTTACAAAATTCCCATATGGTTTAGTAGGTGATAATTTACCACAATCAGTACTAAGAGCTGCAGCATGGTGTTAAGATGTACTCAGCTGCTGCAGGTGCACTCTTTCCTGGAAGATGCTTAAACATCATGTGTCATTCTTCCTAAGAGTCAGTGTTAAGCGTGGTGTCCCAATTAAATTCTAAGTGAGGCACTCATAGCCTGCCTATAAATTGACCTTACAGCTTCAAATAGATACAGCAGTCTTCCTCTTGAGTTGTGTGGAATGGTGTGCATATTAATCTACTTATACAAGGGTTTTAAGCACATGCAACTTTACTCAAGCAAGACAAGCACATTTTGGCAACTCTAAAAGTTCTTTAGGGAACAAGAACTACAGGGCAGAGACCAAAAGTTGTGTCCTGCAAAAAAGTATCCGTGTTTAATTTTGTTTAAAAACTTCAGATACTACAGATTTTTCCAGTGAACTGCAGATAACATTATGCTGTATTCAAGCTATGTAGGAAGAAAGGTTAAAAAGAGCTAAAACACAGCTTAGATCTAAGATACCTCTCATTCAGAATTCACTGCTGACTTGGTTGAAGACTGGCACAGTAGCCTGTAGGAACAAGCAGCAGCCCACAGCTCAGATTTCTATTTTTGCATCTAAAGCTACATCCCTAAAACTACATTTTTAGTTGTTTCACTTAAACCCTCAGTTATTGCAAATAACTTAGTTCTACTCTGGGCACGGCTACACTTGCAGATGTAGAGCACTTTGAGTTAAACCAGCCTTCGTAGAGCACAGTAGGCAAAGCGCTGCAATCTGTCCACACTGACAGCTACAAGCGCACTGGCATGGCCACATTAGCAGCTCTTGCAACAGCCACAGAGGGCAGAGCATTGTGGTAGCTATCCCAGCATGCAAGTGACTGCAACATGCTTTTCAAATGGGGGGGAGGGCTGGTGGAGTGTGACAGGGAGTGTGTTGTGTGTATGTGGGGGGAGAGAGCATGTCAGCATGCTGTCTTGTAAGTTCAGACAGCAGCAGACCTTCCTCCCCACCACCCCTCTCTCTCTCACACACACAGCATTCCACAGTAATGGTTGCTGTGTCTCGGAGCAGATAATAGAGCTTTCAAAGGGCATATCCGCATACCTGCAGCAATTCCAAAACTATGCCAAGAGTGGCCACTTGACTTAAGGGGATTATGAAATGTTTCCGGAGGCTGATCAGAGCGCAGTAATGCAACACCTCATTCACATTGACGCCCGGGCATTTCAGCCAAGGCGCAACAAGCGTTAATCTTGCTGAGGTGGAGTACCACGAGTGCTCTACGTGCCTTGCTAGTGTGGACAGGTAGTGAGCTAGGACGCCTGGGGTTGCTTTAATGCGCTCTAACTCACAAGTGTAGCCAAGCCCTCTGTCACATTCCAAAAGGCTGTGGAGATGTCTCTGCTACTTCTGTTCCCAGCAGTATACACTGTTAAGTGATGTCAAAGATGATAAAATGTTTTATTCAGAGAGCAAGCATAAGGAATAACCATTAGTGTGCTTTACTTTTCTAAACTAGGTACAAACATTTACTAATCCATAACACCACACCGGTAAAGTACTGTAGATACGTATTAATCATAGTTTTGCAGATGGGGAAAAGACTTAAATTACTTAGATGTAGACACACAGCGAGTCAGCAACAGAGCAAGATTAGAATTCCAAAGTGCCTCACTCAGACTCCTCTTCTACATCCAACGAACTCAACTGTCTCTACTTCGGTTACTGATACAAACCATTTACCTCTTCAAAATACGGTGGATGGCAAAGGGCCATGATAGCAGTTCCACGTAAAGTCAAACAGTGTCCATTTTAAGGCCAATTTTGACTCCCTTTAACAACCTAGAATGTCATAAAGTGGTTTATGTAAGTTTTTTTTTTTTTTTAAAGTTTGTGTTTCCTTAGAACAAGGTATCTGGATTATGGGATTTAAAACCAGTCATTCTGACTTGCTCAACTCACACAAGGTTTGGGATAAAGCCTTCAGCATTTCTGCACAATCAGTGGGAGCTAGCATACTGCTTTTTTTGAGGAGCTTTAGGACAATAAATTTTTCTGGGGAGCTTTTACATTCTATGAGTAAAATAGCTTGGGGGTCCATACATCTTGCAAGCTTAAGTGGCATGTCCTGCAAGATCATTTAATTTTACAAGCATGTGCTTGTTTTCCTATTCCTGAACTTGTGATGTCCCCAATCCCAATAAATGGAAGGAGATTAGCCCATGCAAGAGGGTCTCAAATTACAGGAGGCACCAAAAGAGCTCTCTCCTATTTACAGGAGAGAGAGTTTGTTAAATCAGGGAACTCCAGCAGATGGCAACAATATCTACCCACACATGAGTACAGCATTTGCTGCTGTAGGCCAGGCTGTATACGGAGGTGCAAGTTTTCAGGTAGGTCCCTGGCTTGGGAATGACCCCCCCAAAAAATACACACCTCTCTCTCTCTCTATATATATATATATATATAGCCAGAGAGAAAGATACACACAGAGGAATTAGGAGATAAATTTTAAAAAACAAATAACTAAGAAGGGAGATGGGCTAACACAGTTTTGAGCTGCAGTGGTTTCCCATCATAGAATAAAGAGGCGTTATTTTCCCTGAATACAACTCCAGTGTAACTGTCTGGAATACTACTTCTAACTGCAGGGGCCTCATTACCAAACCATATAAACTGCATGCAGGCAGTTCATAAGGGAGCAAGAAGTGATTAAGGGACTGGAGCACTTATGTGGAGAAAAGACTAGAACAGAAGAGCTCAATACATACAGCTTGGCTGAGACAACCAAAAAGGGACTGGATAACAGCACAAAGGAGGAAGAAGAAAGGTCAGTACACAAAAAAGGAAAAAAAGAGTCTACTCTATGCTAAATAGCAGAGGGAAAATACCACTCCTCTCCATTGGAATCCTCTCCATTGGAATATTTAAAACTAGAAGTTAACATGAGAACAATCCTGTATTTGTGGGGCCATGGTCTATATCATCTAGTAGGCTTTTCTATCACTGACTGAGACAAATACATATGGGATAATTGTGTCTGGCAGCCTGGAAAACACCAGCATTAAGTGTTTAGTAGTTTGAGGGGAGGAATATACTCAACCCCTTGAACTATTTCATTGCAGTGGAAGCTAATGTTTTCATCAAAGAAGTATTCCTCATGAGGACTAGAAAGGGAAGTTTTCACATGGTAAAGTTTAACAGTAACTTTTGTAAAGTTAACATGATTTTTCAGTGCATGTGCTTAGCATATTTTTCATTAGTAGCAGCACATTTGTGTTTATCATGGCTGTAGTTTGCTTTTAAGTACATTTCCAGCAGTCAGTGAGCTTAATTACCATACTTACTGAAAAATCCAAGGTGCATGTTCTTGGATAACCTGGGATTCCTGGACTGAAACGCCACACTGTTTCCAGATGATTAAATAGTTTCCCATCTGTGCAGGATGCCTAAAAGAAAGTTTAAGAGTTAAGCTAGAACTATGCTCTCGTACATTAAATATACGAGGCCGAAGTATTTCCTTTTGGAAGCTGGTATTAGGAAAGTTAATGTTTTCACGTTTCACTACATATTAAAAGGCATGGTGCAGCTAAGAATTTCTCCTGCATTGAAGCCAAGAAAAGACCAGTTTACCTAAAATAATTTCAAGCAATGTAATCAAGTTATCTACATGAGGAGCAGTTCTTAGGTAGAAAAAGGACGGTGTGGAGGGGGCCAATTTCTGTTCTCAGAGCCACAACAGATTTCAAAGCAGGTGCACAGAACTAAGAGATCGACGTATGTAGGACAAACAGAATAGTGCCCCTAGTATTGTAAATTGCAATCATTTAGTACCATTGTGTTGTAAGTACCATGGTTTTAAACAAGGCATCTGATATTTAACCTTTACTATTTCTTGTGTATAAATTATATGCACTGAAATGTCTCCAATATTTGTAATTACCCTGTGTAAATGGTCTTAATTTGTAGCTATTGTCTTTTGATGCTAAACAGTATCAGTGGCTATATGTTAAACTACCGTAGGTCTCAACTGCAGCCACCTCTGTAAGTTTGAGAGTTCACAAATATTATTTCACGAGAAATGCATGTCATTAAGGAACATATTCTACCAATCTCACTGAATGAAGAGTCTCATTGATTTCAACGTAAGGGATTAATCTATAGAAGAATAGCAGAATCTGGCCATAAGTATACATATTTGGCTTCAGTTCCCAGCAAGCAGTGTTTACGGGCGGATCTGATTAGAGTCCTTGCCTAAAGTTTTATATTAGGGGAGTATAGTGGTGTTGGCTTCGTAACCTCCACTCTGGGATTGAAGATCAATGTAGCCCTTATTTTCACTCACTCTTGTTTGCTGTCCAAATCCAGATTTGGGCTGGCCATACTTCCAGCAGAGGATTGAACAATGCTCCCTCTTCAAGAATCGCTTAAATGCTGCTCCCCAATTGCCTTGGAATTTTCAGAAAGAAATTACATGGTTCTTCCTCTACCCTGGGAAACAGCATGCTGCCATTGCAACTCTTCTAGCCTCAATGGACACATCAATACTAGAATTTTTTTCCTTCACATCGGCCACTGTTGATACTAACGATTCAACGCTGTCAGCAACAGCAATGGTGGATAGGCGCTGCTGGTGTTTTTGCCACCATAATAACACAAGTTAGAATGCCAGCAGCTCCTTGTCTATGGTACCATTCCCACTTTGCCAACACTGATGGATCTGAATGGTGGGAATTTTTAGGGAAAAAAAAATCCTCATATAGACAAAGACAATAGGTCTGGGAGAGACTTTAAGCACCAAAAATAGATTTCTCCCTTCACCACTCTTAGGGGTGGTTCACCACTCTAGTCCAGCGGTTCTCAACTGGGGTCCACAAGCCCTTTCAGCGGATCCACAGAGCCCCGTGGCTGAAACCCAGAGCCCCGAGCCCCTGCGCTGAAGTGGCACGGGGTTGAAACCAGCACACCCCGAAGCCAGGAGCAGTGCGGGGCTGAATCCCATGTCCGTCCGTCCCCCACAAGCTGGGAGCAGTGCGGGGCTGAATCTGGCACCCCCTTCCCTACCCCTCAAGCTGGGAGTGGCGTAGGGCTGAATCTGGCACCCCCTACTCCCCCCAAGCTAGGAGCAGCGTGGGGGCTGAAGCCAGGAGCCACACTAGGACTGTCCCTGCCTACCTGTACACAGCCCCTAGCTACCACCTGCCTGCACCCTGAGCTATCCCACTGCCTGCACACAGCCACTAGCTACCCCCCTTTGCACCCTGAGTCGTTTTCAAACTTTTTGAACTGACTCCCCCCTTTGAGTTATATTTTTTGGTTGCATCCCCCCACAGCCCAGACAGGCTGGGTGGCCTCCTGAGTGAGTCGGGGGTGGAGGTGGCACTCCATCTCTGGACCCCACTGTGCAGAGCGGTCTCGAACCCTGCCAGCTCTTGCCCACTCCAAAACAGAAGTAAAACTATGCCTATGCCCAAGGGTCCCCCCCAAGCTCAGAGCCCCAAGTCCTCCCCCACCGGGCTCTGGCGTTTTTATAGCATGTTGAGGGGGGGCTCAGCAAGAAAAAGGTTGAGAACCCCTGTTCTAGTCTTCTCCAAGACTAGATGTGCTCTTTTAAGGTGAGCTGTAAATCTAAGAGATAGTTATGAAGCAGCCTGATGCCTACATTCACAGTTCTCTTTTAGGTCAAGAGCCAGTCTTGTAGAAAAATAGTAGGGATAGAGTCCAGTCAGCATGTGAAACCTGAACTTTCTGCTGTAATTGTTCACCTGTCTCAGGTCCTGATTTTTACCCCCCAGAATGAGAAAGTACTTTAAATAAAAGCCCTTCTCCCCACTGTACTGTCTTGGCATCTTATATCCCGCATACTTAACAAGGAATCCATTTCTGCTCTTAACAGTGTTTTTTATAAGAGGAATCCCTGGAAAGAATGGGGATGGGAGAAAGAGCAGAATTGGACTGCTTAGCCAAACAATTATCTTTAACACAAGTTATCTATGGCAATTTTACTCCATGCTGCAAGAAAATGGATGAGGTGATTCCCAAAGTGAAGGAAAGGTGTGAGACAGAAAAGTGCAAAAGAAATAAGAGATTAGGTTCCCGAGCAACCCTTGAATTTGAGCCTGAGTAGGTGTAGAGGACAAAAGAGCAGCTGAAGTGCCAGACTTCTGCTTAAAATGTTGTCCTTTTAATCTGCCTTTTTGGTTACTACCATGGTTGAAATGGTTATGAAGAAGAGTAAAAGGAAACAGATGAAAGTTATTGCCTCTGCAATATGAAAGAAGATGAAGCAGGGTTCCTTCTCTTCTGACCAGCTTAACCCAAAAGTCTCCATCTTCTCATCAGTCTTGCTACTGAACAAGCCTTCACCATTAAAGGGCTCCTTTCCAGCCAAACAGGCCAAATAATGTAAGTCATGAACGCTGGAGGAGAGTGATGACAGATGCCACAGTTCTTGCTGAAGTGTCTGAAGCATCATGCCCCTTTTTCTTTGAGAAGCGGGTAAGTCAAAATTAATTTTAAGTTTAAAGAGGATTATATAAAAAATATACTAACAACCATTCCTTATAATGAAGAGAACTAGGAATGGTATATACATGTATCACATAAATGGCTGGTTATTTCTCACACAATAAAAAGAATAAAGCAAAGATTTTTCTTTAAAGACACATTTTAAAAACAATGTTCAATATCCCTCAGCTGTAATTAGGTCTTAAACAAAAGCTACACACACAGTTTTTGAAAATATAGCACCACTCAAAACAGCTTTATGAATCATTTTTGAATTTTGTTTTGAAGTCATAGTTTCCTGTTTTCTTTAAAGTATTACATTTATACAATTGGATATTAGGAAAAGTTACACACAAGAAACACACAAAATAAGAATTACCTTAACCAAGTGAGGTCTCACTAGGGTAACAACTGATGTATACTTCTCTACCACAGGAGGAAATCCTATTTCTAAGTGGGCTTTGCAGTACCCAGAACGTTTGGATAATATGTCTGACTTTTTACACCAAGGAACAAAGAGTTTGTAGTCCTCCACAACAGCTACCACTTCATACATTTCCTGCATGGAATACCTGGAAATAGAAACATGACATTACCAGTTATAAAACTGTAGTAATTTAAATATAAAAGCTTTTCAAGTTACTATAAGTTACATGGGCAACTTTAATTTGGTATTTCCAAACATATGAGTTCTTGACTTTGCAGATTTACATCCTTTTAAGATTTTAACAGTAATTTATACAGCACTGTAAATGCTGACTACACTTTACAAAAAATTAAATGAATATTTTCACTCTAAAAATCATACAACTTAGAATCTCAAAAGATACAATCAACTGAAGACAATATAGCTATTGTTAAAAAATGTACAGGTAACTTAGCTAATTAAAAATAGTTAAGAAAGAGTTGTAAGCAATTTGGCACAAATCAGTATTTGCTCAAGGGAAGCAAGACATTGGAATAGATGAGGTGCCACAGGTTAGGATGAGGTATATTGGTAAAGCTAGGTGGGGAAGCCAGCACAGTGCTTACCCACCGTCTGTTGTCAAGCTTCTGCTATTAGTCCCTTGCATTCGAGAGCTAAGATCCCAATCCTACAAACACACAAATGAGTAATTTGTAATTTCATGCATATGACTAGCCCCTCATATCCATAAGTGTTTGCAGGATTGGAGCCTAAATTACTCAGTATTTAAAAAAAAAAAAAAGCTAAAAGCCAATTTCAAGCAGTCTGCACATGCAATTCTTCAAGATAAACACTGTTGGTACTAAATTTTAGATGTCTCAAAAAGGGGGGAACCTTTTAGTCTTAAGTTTAAGCTACTTCTGTATCAAATGGACTTTACCAAAAACAAAAAAACAAATGAACAAACAAAAAAAACCCTAAAAAGAAGCCATTAGACTAAGATGCTGGATTTAATAAAAACCTCCCTCCGACTTTTTAATAAGTCAGAATCTCATTCAAACCCTTAGGGTGAAAGCAAGATGGAAATTCTAGTCTTGTCTTGAACTAGTTTTTAATGGGGTAAATGCAGAACAGATTTTTTTTTAAACTGATTCTGACCCATATACGAAGTTTCGGCCCAGGGTAAATATTTATATCACCTTCATTTGTAATGGTCAAACAACGATATCAAGATAAAAGTTTTCTATTATTCATAAAGGCTCTTCAAATACTGTGCAAGTGATTTTCCACAGAACAGTTTTTATACCTCTAGTTCAGCCTTCTAGACTACAGCCCGCGGGACTCTCCTACCCAGCCCCTGAGCTCCTGGCCTGGGAGGCTAGCCCCTGGTCCCTCCCCCGCTGTTCCCCTCCCCGCTGCAGCCTCAGCTCACTGCGCCGCTGGTGCAGTGCTCTCGGCGGCGGGGCCGCAAGCTCCTGGCGCAGTGCAGCTGCAGAGCCCAGCCTGACCCAGTGCTCTATGCTGCACGGTGGTGTAGCTGGCTCCAGCTGGGCAGCGCGGCTGCAGCACCGCCAGTCACTGGTGCTCCAGGCAGCGCAGTAAGGGGGCAGGGAGCACGGGGTTGGATAGAGGGCAGGGGAGTTCAGGGGTGGTGGTCAGGGGGCGGGGAGGTGGATAGGGGTCGGGGCGGTCAGAGAGCGGGGAACATGGGGGTGGAATGGAGGCAGGGGTCCAGGGGAGGGGGGTGCAGTCAGGAAGGAGAGAGGGGTTGGATGGTGTGGCAGGGGGCAGTCAGGGGTGGGGGTTCCAGGGGCAGGCAGGGTACAGAGAGAAGGGGTGGGGGTTCCAGGGGCAGTCAGGGGACAGGGAGCCAGGGGAAGGGAGAATGGAGGGAGCGAGAGAAGGGGCTGTGCCATGCCTGGCTGTTTGGAGAGGCACAGCCTCCCCTAACCAGACCTGCATACAATTTCTGAAACCTGATGTGGCCCTCAGGCCAAGAAGTTTGCCCACCCCTAGACATGCAAAATTGCAGTAAATTCTACAGAGATACAAATTTAAGTATGTATAATTCTGCAGATCTTTAGCTTTTCATTCCACCCTTTAGCAAATCAGCCCATTCATATGTTTTGCAGATCTGCATGCTTTTAAAATATACGAACTTTAAAAATCCTGTATTATTAGGAAAGCTGATACAACTGCTAGAGGCAAAGCTGCAGGAGTGTTTCCAAAGTTGGTTTCTGTTGGGAAATGATTTTTTGGGGGTGAGAGGGTTTGAGGGGGAAAGGGCGGTGAGGGGGGCTGAGTATATGTCAAGTTTGAAGGAAAAATTACAGCTGCTTTTGGAAAGGGGAAAAAAGCTACCTTGCAGAAAAATAATAAAAACAAAACAAAAAAAATACAGCAACCATCTGACATGGAAATTGCCCTCACTGAGACCTGTCAGTCTTCTGAAGAAAACCGATTTTGATTTAACCAGTTATGACCATTTGAAAGTCAAATGTTGTCCACATACAATACAATGAGTATATTTTTAAGCACCACCTGGAGCAAACATAGACGGCATTGCATATGTTTAGCTACACAGTCAACTCCTTAGTCCTTCAAATGGACTGGTACTCATCTCCAAGAGTTTCTAGAAAACAGACCTAATTAAAGAATCCTCCTGCTGCTGTAGTCTCTTTTTGTTTATCTCCCTCTAACCCTTCAACTCATAACTCCTCCCTTCTGCTTATTTCACCTCCTCTTTTCTCTTTAACCACTCTCCCCTACTGACTCCTTTCCCTATTATCTTTTATCATAGGGGGAAAACCGTAGCTCAGACCCATCTCTGTACCCTTCATTTCTTCAATCTTTCAGCATGCTGTGAACTGCCTAGTTTAACCATCAGCTACCTCAGCAACTCCATTATCTTATCCCATCAGGCCTTGTCCGCACATCACCCTCCATCCTGTGCCCAGCATTTTGTCATCTTCCCTCATACATCTTGTTTAAACTTCACATAGCAAATTCCTTGGGGGCATGGACATTCTTATTTGTTTGAAGTGTTAATTACATTTATGGTGATTTAGAAATAGTAAGTAAGATCAGCCCATACCCACAAAGTGCTGTGCACCTCCTGATACGCACAGAGTGAACTGACTTCCAACGTGCATAGCACTTGCAGGATTGGACTCTAAGGAAGTATGGGGATGGGTTTAAATTAAAGATTAAAACATTTTAAAGAGCATTTGGAAAAAAAATAAAAACAAAATTCTGATCTTGAGTTTCTCCTAAAACAACTGGTGACATTACAAACAATTAAAGCAAAGTAGAACACGCAGCCTCTTTTCTGCTTTAGGTGTCCCAATGTCAGTCATCAAATTGAGAAGAAAGAGATCCTAAACTTTGGCCCTTGTGAAGTAAAATATCTTCACTGTTTACTTAATTGTAATATTAAAGGCTTTTTGCATGTTTCCTAACAATTTAAAACGGAAGTCCCAAAACTGTGGGGCACACCCTGCTAGGAACTTCCAGGGGACATGGTGGGGAGGGAGCACCACGGAACCCCTTCCTGCCCCCAGCTCTGCTCCAGTCCCGCCACCAGCCACGTCCCTGGCTCCTGTCCCCAGCCTCGGCACAGCTCTGCTCCTGGCCCTAGCTCCATTCCTGGCCCAGGGCCAAGACCGGGAGCAGAGCTGCACCTGGGAGCGGCCCCATTCCCAGCCACAGATCCACCCCCAGCTGCAGACCCAGCCTTGGCCCCTTTACCCCTGTCCGTGTCTACTGACTTCAATGGGGCCAGATTTCACCCTCGGCTGTAGCTCTGTACTTTTGTTTCCCCATCTATAGAACAGGGATAATGCTTCCTCTCCACATACCCCAACAGCAATCTAAGATCCTCAAATGAAAGATGCAATATAAGTGCAAAGTATTAGCATGTTCTTGGAGCAAATGAGGAAAAACTAGTTGAGTTCATACCTTTGTTATTTTGCTGGAATTAGTTTTCTGCAGAAGCAGATTAAATGGTTAAGGCATTCTTTCCACTAGAAGGGGTAGCTTTTTAAATTTTATTTATTATACATTTTTTTGAACACTGGGTTTAATTTCTGGACAAGACAACTAAACCTTTCAAAACTGGCTAGTGATTTTTAGTGTCTTCATTTTTTGGTGGTCATTCTGAGGCACTTAAAAGGGGCCTGATTTTGAGGGGAGAGATGCTCTACACTTTCTGAAAGTCAGGCTCCTTTAAAGTCATTAGTCACCACTAAACATAACCAGAACTACTAGAAATGTTTATGGCTTATCTACAACAACTTATAGAAACCAAATGCACACACATCTATAAGTCTATTTCCATAGTTCTATTATACAAACCCTATAATTCTTCTCTCAGAATATTCTTTTCTTTTATTTCCGAATGGTGAAGCAATGTTGAAGAAAGTTCTTCTTGCGAAGGTACGGTTTGTTACAGATGCTTGCATTTGAGGAATTCTGCTCATCAGAATACCACATGAAGCCAAGTGCCTGCAATTGTGAAAATGTTTTATTATAGTGTGTTTTTGATTAACAAAACAAATCATTAATGCTTTGAAGTAAGATAGAGAGGTGGGTGAAGTGCAATAAAAGATATGACCTCACCTATCTTGTCTCTCTAACATCCTGGGACCAACACGGCTACAATTCTGCATACATTAAAGTGAGATATACAGGCAATCTGTTCTACAGTATTGCAGAAAATTTTTGCTTCAGATGTGAAAATGAGCTCCATAACAGTCTGTAAGCTGTTCAAGATGCAATGTTAACCTTTTTTTGTCTTTGGCAAAACTAAAAATAGCTCCCAGTCATGGAAAAAAAAAATTGGCACACAGTAAAATACAAAGGCCTTCCTTTAAGGCTTGGCTTCAACTCAGTCTGAGGCCATACACTAAACTGAGTTCACTTTGATTTGCAGACCAGCATTTCCTGCTAATATACAAGTAGTTTTCAGACGTCATCTCTAATATTTTGTCCCATTCTGAATATGTGAACAGAAAAAGAAGTTTGGAGTCTGAGATACACAGCTGAATACCATTAAAAATACATTCATATTTTTATGTTTCAGATGACAAGAAGTTAGTTTCTCCTCCCCCCTTATTTCTCTTAAAAAGCAAGTTCCTGGCTGCATGGCCTTTTGGAGAGGAAACTACACTCCTTATCCTACTTTAGACATTTGTTTCTCCTGAAACAGTTGAGATCATATATAATCTTGAATTTCAGAAATAAAACCTCACCATTTACTTTTCAGAAATACTTATAAAGGTCATATTTATATTCTCTCAATGAATTTAAGATTATGGAAAAATACAAAGCATATTTCAGTTTTAAAATGTGAATCATCACATTTATAGATCCATCTACACTGTTAAATTCAATACTCTGCTTGAGTTGGGATCTCTCATTGTTAAGAAGCACTAGTATATTTTATACAAAAGTTAACCTCAGGAAGTCCTGATTCCTGGCATCAATGCATTTAAAAGAGAGAGCTCTATTACCTACCAGTGGTCCCTCTCCCCATAATATCTAATGAACTATCTGGGTTTCTATCGTATTTCTAACACAATCAGAGCTGTAACTCTAGAATCAAGCAGTCATATGAATGAGGAGTTAAAAATGGAACTGACCTTCCCCAATAAGCTGAAAGGTTTTTTTTTTTTAAACATAGTGCACTGGTGGATGAGCCTTCTCCTTAACCACTGAAGTCTAGCAAGTTACGATAACTAAGTGTAAACTGCCAACTATTTAAAGAAGAAACTATTAACTTTGCTGGCCTGTGACTGCAAAACATCCACTAATTTCCTACAATAACCAACAGTGTAAATTTATGGGGCAGACATTTAATACATCATGGAAGCATCACATACCTGCTCTGCACTCACCTCAATGGAGCTTTATTACAGGACATTCGAATAATACTGTAATTATACAAGCCATTTTATAAATATTCTTGAGACACAATCCCTGCTTTGAGGAGCTTATATAACAGAAATATCTACTTGAGTAACTAAATTCTATTCAAAGCTATCATGAACACTTGACAAAAATGCTTATGCCCCTAAGAACTGCAATAAGTAACAACTCAATTGTACAACTACCCCAGGGCTACAGTTGCATTTAATTCTGGTTCACCATGTTAGACAGAAAACCAGTCTGGGAGGGACTTCAGAAGAGAGATAATATATACATATTTTGCAAGGTAATAAAACGTGTGAAACAAGATCATAGACCACAAATATTTAGAATCGTAAACACCAGAGACAGAAAGGAATTACTTGGGATTGTATCGGAGATACAACCAGGAGTATTGGTATGAAATTAGGAAAGGGAAAGTTAGGCTGAGTATCTGGTAAATCCTTGAGAATGAGATCGATTTGACTGTAGGACAGTTGTATCTCAAAAGATGTGACTACAGTCCCATAATTTAGCAATGTGCCTGGACAAGATGCAGCAAGGGGTACCATATAGAAACAATCTTGCAGTGCCAGAGAGATTGATAAAATAATTAATAAATCCTTATCCATATCCAATTTCTATAAATCTGGCCAATGCACTCAGAAAACCTGGGATAGGCTTTATTTTACATTTAAGTTAGCCTCTCTCGACCACAGACAAAAATAAAGCGTGTGAGTTTTTAACTATATATAGTACATTGTCAAAAGTAAATGTGTATTTAAATTTCTGTAATGATATAGTAAAAGTATTTCAAACTATTTTTCAGATAGGCTTGCTTTGCAACTTCCAAATCCCAATTCTAGATGTTAAACAACATAAATAAGGACAATGAGAAATTATTGCTGATAGATAGTGTCTGATTTAGAGCTTTAATACCATTCAAAGGTAGGCGGGTATGGTTAACATAAGAAGAAATTACAAGGTTAACAAGTCTGGAGAGGTTTCATATGGAATACTGCATCATCAGTTTATTTTCTCTTGATTTCATCTGAAGATAAATCAGATATCAAGAATGTGCTGTCTTTGGCTCCGATTCAAGAAAGCATCCTTATAAAAGACATCAGTGAAATACATGACACCAGTGGGACTTAAGCATAGGGCCGCTCTTGAATCAGGCTTTTAACTCTTTCAAGGACACATGTAGTAACAAAGTATTTAGTTTAGGTATATAAAAAACAGTGCTCAACACTCATTGTTCATCCATCTTCAGACACTACATATTCCCAATTTTACAGATAGGGAAACAGATGTAGAGTATTAGTGACTTGTTTAAGGCACAGAGGGCAGATAGCAGCAGTGCTCATATTAGAACTCGAAAGTACTTGGCTTCTAGTCCTGCATTTACCCCTCTCTAGCAACAGGGCAGCCAGCTTTCACATCTTAGTATACATTTTTACTATTATCCAAACCAATCATTTACTGCTTTATCTCCAAATGCTAGGACAACTACTATGGCACCACATGTCTTTCATGCTCCACGGAGTCAACAGTTACTACTGTATCTTACATGTTCAAACAACATATACTCCATGATTTTATTAAATTTAAAAAACTAGATCTGTTTTAAGATTGAAGTTGATTAGAATCAAGTACTAGAAGAAGAGAGATATCTAACAAATGATAGAAAAAACATATTAGTACTAAGGATGTGCCACTGTAACCATGTTCATAGTTTCTCAAATATCAGTTTCATAAAGTTAATGTCATCTAGTGGCTGTTTTATGACCTATGACACCAATGTGACATAAGTTGATCTCATTCCAAATCCTAGTGGACATCAATTTCTCCCTCATTAGTTAGTTTGGTACTCAACACATAGGCAGAGCAAAGCTCACACATTAGAGGGGTTGTAAGCAGCTGCGTGGTGTTAAGATACCACATAGACATCTTTTCTTTTCACACAATTGTGCAGCTTTCCACAATGCTCCTCTCTGCACTAAGTGACAAAGGAAAATGCACAGGCCAAAGTACTTTATGGAAGAGTGGTCTGAATGTCTCTCCCTCTTTTATTAATAGCACATTATTGATTAAAACATTAATAGATAGAGGTACATACTTGGTACATGCATTATACAAATTATTATAAAGATACGTTTATATAAATTTGGTACAGATTGGATCTATAGCTAAAGTATTTGGTAGATCATGAACATAGTGCTTATGAAAACCTAGTAATATCTACACTCCCTTAATTCTTTATCTCACTGTCAAGGACAGAAAGTTCTGAACACACTATCATTTTAAGACAAGTTACACTTGGATCAAAAGCACCTAAACATCACATTTGTTTAAGATAGGCTATAACCATATAAACACAGTTTCTGGGAATGGAGTTTGTCCTCAAACCACACATACTAAAATAATTTTTAAAAAGGTTTCAGAGTAGCAGCCGTGTTAGCCTGTATTCGCAAAAAGAAAAGGAGTACTTGTGGCAACTTGGAGACTAACAAATTTATTTGAGCATAAGCTTTCGTGAGCTACAGTTCAGCTTCATCAAGGAAAGCTACTTTCCTTTAACAAGGATGAACTATTTTAGTATCTCCAGCCCACATTAAACTTCACTTGAATGTGGACAGGACATAAAATTACTTTTTTTTCCCCCTCCAAAGAGGGAAAAAAGATCTCACATTTTTCTACTTCAGTCCCTGTGTCAAACAACTAAATGTAGTTTATGACATCATGAAGGGATTTTGACTCCAACCTATTTATTACCACACACACCTTACCTCAACCTTAACATGGAGGCACAACCAGCAGCTCCCTAATAACAATAAAGGCTGCAAGAGTCCCTTTATTATTTCACTCCTTATTAAAAGAAATAGTTGAGTCCATTTTGCTTTCCAAGTTTTCTTTTGTTTTCACACAATTTGCCTCTATAATTGAAAGACTGGGTTTAACAGAAACAGCTGTGACACAAAGTGGGTAGATCTTGACTCTTAATCAACCTTACATTTATTAAAATGTCATGACACAGGTCTTGAAATATGTTTGAAATATACCCCAAAATTATATATATTGGTTCAGCTAGAAAGAGTGTCAGTTTGCTAACAGTTAAATGCTTTGCATTTCCTTCAAGCAGAACTAGACATTTCATTTACAGTAAAGTTTTTTGGAATCGCAATATTCCTGGGACTGTATTTCACCCTTAAATTATCCCCTTAACTCCAGCCTGATGTTGGGGCTACCTAGGGGGGAATTTACCTAGCTACCTATTTATTGCTTTTGAGTTGGAAAGAGACCTGGGCCCCTGGACCCCAAATCCTCAGCCAGAGGGGGGCTCCGAGGGGAGCAAGCAGTTGCCCCATTCATCTCCAGCGTGTTCACTCTGGAGCCTACTGACCGCAAGGCGAATGTCAACGCTGCTAATTATCGCCACTCAGCTCCTGGGTGGAGCAAGCAGGGGCCACCTCTCACGAGGTGGGGGGCGGCTCAAGGGAGATTCCCAGTTCCTACGCGGTGGGAGGAGCCGCTCGCAGCGCGGGGAAGAACGGGCCCCGGGGGGGGGTCATCAGCCCCTTTAAACCGCCCCATGTCCCTGTGACTGGAGGACCCCGCCTACCTGAGAACGCTTCTGTGCGGCGCCGTGAGCCTTTCGGCGAGCACCTTCCCAAGCGCCCGGCCGCTCCGCGCCATGTTCAGCCCCGCTACCTCACCCCCCCATCCCAGTCAGCCAGCCTAACGGCTGCCAGCGCCAGACCCGCCCCCATCTCTAGCAAGCCAATCACCGCGCAGCAGCCGCCCAGACGACGCCAATCACCGTGCTAAAAGTCCCTCACGTCACTGCTATGTGGACCGCGGTGTCCTACCCTCGACACACCCCCTCCCACACCCACCCCATGACTCTGGTGCGAGAGCGCGACACAGAGCTTCGGGGCCGCGCGCAGTCACAAGGCTTAGGGTTGGCTTTGTCGGGGTTACATAAGGCTGGGAGCAACAGGGGCGGGGCGAGTGCTGGAATCAGCCCATTGATTGGCCGAATGGAGTGACACTCAGCAGCTCTTAAAGTTACACAGGCTGGTGGCGGGAGGAGTAAGACAAGGCTTTGCGGCGTGTCCTTGCGCCCCCTGCGTTCTGCGCGCGGGGCAATTCCCCCACGAGCCTTCTGTCCCGGTTCCCGCCTTCCAGCTCCCCCACTGCCCAGACCCTGCTTCGTCTCCAAGCCTCCCCTCAGACTCTGCCCCGCCTGGTCTCGCTTCCCCGCGCCTCAGCCCCCACCACTGCTTATCCTTGGTCTCTAGCTTCCGGCCCCACCCCTCAGATCCTGCCCTGTAGCCCCCTCCCCTCGTCACCAGCTCCCCCCACCCCTCAGACCATGCCCTATAGCCTCCTCCAGTGCCTGCCCCTTCCCCTCATCTCCAGCTTCTGCACCCCTCAAACCCTGCCCTATAGCCCCCTTCCCTCATCTCCAGCTCCCCTTCACTGGAGACCCTGGCCGTACCCCCTTCCAGCACCTGCCCCTCCCCCCACCTTGAACCCTGCCCTATAGCTCCCTCCAATGCTTCTCCCTTGGCACTAGTTCCCCCGCCCCTCAGGTCTTGCCCCTTATCTCCAGCTCCCACTCCCCACCCAGGCATAGTTTAACTTCTATATTTTTGGAGCAGCTCCAATCTAGGCAATGGGGCTGTGTATGGCAGGGGGTACGGGGGTCCAAATTCTGTGAGGCTTGCATTTTGGGGTGGCAGTGCTCCCCTGCCTCACAAACTACACCCATGCTCCCTTGTCTCCAGCTCCCCCATCTACACATTCCAGGCCCAGCCCCGTGGTGTCCAGTGCTCCTGTCCTCACAGACCCTGCTCCTTTGCTGCCTGACCACTGCTACCTCCCCCCAGACCCAGTCTGTGATGTTTTTATATTTATTATTTCTAAAGAGAACTGACAGTGCACCTAACTCCAAGTAATACTACTTTGTGCATAACAAGGAAGTTTACCTTGAGCATTTTACTCAAGAAGTACAAAGGTCAGTGCCTCTAAACCAGAGGTGGGCAAACTATGCCCCGTGGGCCACATCTGGCCCGCAGGACCATCCTGCCCAGCCCCTGAGCTCCTGGCCCGGGAGGCTAGCCCCCCGGCCCCTCCCCTGCTGTTCTCCCTCTCCCGCAGCCTCAGCTCACTGCTCCACTGGCACAGCGAGCTCCTGGGGCAGCGCAGCTGCAGAGCCCGGCCTGACCCGGTGCTCTGTGCTGCGTGGCACGGCTGCCTGTCGTGGTGCATCTGTGCTGCCAGCCACCAGTGCTCCAGTCAGCCCGGTAAGGAGGCAGGGAGCAGGGGGGTTGGATAGAATGCAGGGGAGTTCAGGGGTGGTGGTCGGCGGTGGGGGGGTGTTTAGGGGTTGGAGCAGTCAGAGGGCAGGGAACAGGGGGGTTGAATGGGGGCAGGGATCCCGGGGGGGCAGTCAGGAAAGAGAGCAGGGGTTGGATGGGGCGGTGGGGGACAGGGAGAAGGGGTGGCTGGATGTGGCAGGAGTCCCAGGGGGTGCCATCAGGAAGGAGAGGGGGGGTGGATGGGGCAGTGGGGGGCAGCCAAGGGAAAGGGGTCTGGGGGGATTCAAGGAGAAGGGGGGGGTTGGATGGGGCAGGGGTCCTGGGGGGGCAGTCAGGAAGGAGAGGGGAGTTGGATGGGGCGGCGGGGGGTAGTTAGGGGGAGGGGGTCCAGGGGTGGTCAGGGGACAGAGATGGGGGTTGGATGGGGCAGGAGTCCGGGGGGGGGCTGTCAGGGGGGGCACAGCCTCCCCTAACCGGCCCTCCATACAATTTCAGAAACCCGATACAGCCCTCAGGCCAAAAAGTTTGCCTGCCCCTGCTCTAAACTCTGGGGCTTTCAGGGTTACAGAGTCAGCTTTGTAACCCTGGAGAAGTTACATACCTAAGCAGAGGCTGCATGTAGGTCTATTTTCCAGGTATCTGGGCCCTGTTTAAGAGTGGTTAATATACTAGGAACAGTAAGAAATAGTATTCAGAAGATCCAGTTCCACAAGTTGGCATAGTTAGGGAACTATAAAATACTCTCTACCAATAAAAACCAAATTAGAAGAGTTCCTATGGATTTTTTTCCCTTTGAGTAACCAGCTGTCTTCATACACATCACTAACTACACTGCTCGTGTTCACTAGTGCCACATCTTGAATGCCCTTGAGAATTAAGGACATTTAACACTCTCACACTCAGGACTTCAGTTTCTAACAGCAGAATTACTACAAGTTTTTTATGATAGGTTATATATCAGTTTATTACAAAAATTTAGAATGTACATTAAAAATTAATAAAAGTGGGTTCAAAATAGGTATTTCAACAGTTAAAATATTTCATGGTGTTACCCTCCACTGTTATAATTCCAGACTATTTTAATAGTTATTAATTCATACTTGTACATAATTCATCTAATTAAAAAAGTCCCAAAAGCACAAGACAATACCATTAAGAAATTACAACTATCTTACAATTATTTTAATAATCCTTAGTCTTTTTATTTACAATATGCCACTTTGAATTTCAGACTTCTCTTTACTCCTGAGGGAATTTTGCGCCACTGCGCATGTGCAGAATTTACATCTCCTGCAAAGGGAAGCCACAAGAACAGTCATGCGACCCTCCCCAGGAGTATTTTTGGGTGCCCAAAGCAGCTCTCAGAGAAGTAAATCACTGTGAGGCAGGGGCAGGACTGGGGAAGACCAGGCTGGTAGCTCCTGCCCCGCGCCAGGCTCAGCTGCTAGGACTTCCTCTTTCCTTGCATGGCACCCACCCCCCGATTTCTCCCCCAGTTGCAAACTGTGCCCTCCCCTTCCCCCCTGCACCTATTGCTCCTCAGCTTCAGGGAGAGGGATCCCTGCACAGGGAGCTGCTCCCCCATCCGCCCAACCCCCATGGATCCAGACCCCCTCATACCTGGACCACTCCGACAAGCCAAGCACACCCAGATCCCCACCCCACCGAAACCCTAACCAGCTGCACCTGGATCCCTCTCTCACTGGGCTTCTCACACCTCCAGCATCTGTACCCCACCACTGAGCCCCCCAAACCCAGACCCCCCTGAAGAGCTCTATCCTCCCCACACTGACCCCCTCTGATGAGCCCCAACTTCCTTCACCTGGAACCCCCTGCAGAGTCCCATTACCGCTGCACCCAGAACCCCCCAACAAGCCCCTGTGCATCCAGATCCCCCCTGCACTTGGATCCCCCACTGAGCCACCTGCACTCAGGTTACCGCACACAGAACCCTCTCAACCCACCCCTGGATTCCCCCACGCTAAGCCCTGCCACACTTGGTTCCTGCCTTGCCAAGCCTGCCTGCCCACACCTGGTGCACCTGGATGGAGGGGAAGGGCCCTGGGGTGTTTCTGGGACAGGCCCAGTCCTAGCACTGTCAGGGTTGGGTGCAGCCTCACCGCCGAGTCCGAATCCCAAGGGGTAGCTGCACAATGATCTCCCACCTCTGTGCAGCCAGTGGCCTATGCTCCCCAATGCCATGTGGAGCCTCCACATTTATTTGACAAATAAAATTTGTAGAGTTTTGCAGAATTTTAAAATATTGTGCACAGATTTTTTTTTTTTTTTGGCGCAGAATGCCCTTAGAAGTATCTCTTTTAACACAGTCATAAATACAAATTATTCAAGGATAGTGCCCTCCAAAACTCATATGTAAAAAAGCAGGTTTTATTTAATCTTCACCCAGCCATTTGGCTCCTGACTGAGAGTATTGTACTGAGGCACAGAAATGTAGTGTCAAGTTCTGTATCACTCAATATAAAAATATGCCATGACTGCATTACATTAATAGGCTAATGGAGAGGGGTTTTTGGTGCGCTCTCTAATCAGCATCTTCAGTCAAGTGCACCCCCACCAAATGAATTACTATTAGAGCATGCCTCATTAAATTTTTCAAAAATCCTCTTCTAAAAGGGTTGTGTGGTTTTATGCAATGTATCTTACTCTGTGAAAAGTAGTTCTTACTAAATGAATGGGAAAACGGATTTGTAGATAGAACATTTTAAATGCATGAATCAAATAGTTCAATTGCAATGAGCCATTTTGAAAATCCTTGCTTACTTTTCTAAAAAAGAGATCCTCTTCACTTGAGTCTTTTCAAAATATATCCTCCTCAGAGTCATCTGTAGCATCCTTGCTATTAGCAATTGCATAAAACTCATTATTAAACAAAGATATCATCTCTTTGGATGGCTGAAACTGGTTGCAGCAAATCTTATTTCGGTGCATATAGGCCCTGATCCTTAAGATATTTTCAAGTAGGCTGTCCTGCAGTCTGTTCTTTAACTTGGTTTTTATCAAGTTCATTTGTGAGATTGTACACTCCACGGCTGCAGTGCTGAAGGGTAAGGTGAGAAGGGCAAGGGCAAATAATCCTAGCTCAACAAAATCCTTATCACCAACTTCATCTGTGTGTTTTGCAACTTCTATCCAGAACTGTTCTATTTGGCTATCTTCTGTGTTCGTCCATGAGACTGCATCCAGATTTCTCCATTGCTGTTTCAACTTGATATGATCCCCTCTACACAAGGACAAAAAAGACAGGGTTGAGAATTCAGGTTTTGTAGGACTGAGAACAACTGAAGGGCTCAGAGCGCTGAGAGATTCTAGATGATGGACATTTGGAGGCAGTCGGAGCTTTATTTGCTTAGCAAACTCAAGGATACAATCTCGACATCTGCTTTGGATGGTATCTACTGTATGTGAGGAAAGATTTGCATTTATTAATTCTGATAGGAACGCTGATCCAAAGTTAACCTCTGAAAGAGGCATGTAGTTCCTGTTACAGTGAATATCATAATTTACAATGGATGACCATGTTGTAAAGACACAAGGTTTCATGACTCTTTGTACCAAATTCTGATAGAACAGCATTAATTCAGCAATAAGGTTAACTGGATTAACTGTTTCAAATTGAAATAACTTGTTGATCCTGTTAGCTTCCTCAATAAGAGGCTGCAGAAAAACAAGATAGAGTCTATTTACTGGGTCAGAATACATTTGATAGAGAAGCTCAGCACTGTAGTCCCTTTCATTGTCTCTTATAGACTGAAAGTGCAACATCAGAGCTTCATACTGATCAAGTACTCTGTTAATACAAGGGCTAATGGACAGCCATCTTGTCTCAGTAAGCTGCAGTATTTTCAGGAAATTCTCTCCAACACTGATGGCAGCATACAGTTCATGGTACCTCTTCTGGTGGAAAGTGCTATGGGAAAACCACAAGTATGTCCGTGAAACCATGTACTCTATGTTCAATGGAAGCACATCAATGGCTTTTGAAGAACACAAATAGAGAGAGTAACTTACATATTTGATGAAAACTCCACAAGGATTGAGTTCATAAAACTTTTTGAGCAATGAATTCTTATTTCCACATAAGCTTGTATTGAAACCATCAGCAGCAATCCCAACACACCTTTTTATGTTCAGCTTGTTGTCATTTAGAAATGTCAAGAGTGCTTCTGTGATAGTACCACTTCTAGTCAAGTTAATGATCCCTGCAAAGGATGATACAATACATTTAAGCTTGTTGCTGAAGTATCTTACTATCAAGCAAAGTTGCTTTTGTGCTGATACATCTGTACTTTCATCAATGATCAACGAGTAGTGTCCATTGCCAATGTCTCTGAGAAGTTCTTTGTGTACAGTAGGACCAATGACATTTCTAATCAGTGTGGAACATTTTGTTTTATGCAGACTAATGTCCTTCTCTGCTATCCCTCCAACAATGCAGCCTAGGTGATCCACTGTGAAAATGCTCATATGGCAAGCTATGTGTGCCGCTAGCTTCAGTGCGCACACATTAACAGATTGATCCAATTTGGCTTGCGTGATATCATCATCAAATGAATTTTGGTTTTCAACTTCAAATTCAAATGAATGTTTTTTCATATCAGAAGAATGTGAAAATAAAGCAACATGTCTCTTGTGCTTTTTTGTTTTACTGTGTGCAACCAAATCACTATGATGGGCTCTGATTTCACATGCGCAGTATTTGCATGCTGCCTTTGTGTCATCTCCTGGTACACTTCGAATCCATTCTTTTAATCCAGTTTCCCTTTCCCAATCTCGACAGTATCTTTTTCCATACTTTTCCCACTTCCCAAGTGGTTTAGGTGCCATCTATGGTTATGTGTTATAGGCTTCTCTAAGAACATAAGATTCCTTAAAAATAAAAATAGACAATTACTCTAAAACTCCCAAGATAAAAGTAACATGAACATTTTGAAATCCCTTATTGGAGGATTAACAAAAAATGGTCACATAGAAAAAAAGAGGATTTCACCAATAAATTCTGACAACCAGTTCAAACTTTTCAAAAGGCAAAGGCTTGCTAAACCTTTAAAGAAAATCTATATGTAAGTGTAACTCAGGGTCCAAATATTCAAATTTGTTAATTTTCATCTGACTATAAACTGCTAGTTCAAAAAGTTCAGAGGTACTTTAACAAAACTGGTAGGCAGCGAATTTTACAACTGTAGGATGCCTTCTTCTTCCCAAATGGGAAAAAGTTATACAGGTCATAATTAACATGTTCCCACAAGCTATTTTACTAATAAATGTCTTGTGCCTAATGCCCAAGACTGGGATTAGGAATGCTGGGTTCTATTCCCAGTTCTGTCCAGGCTTCTTGTGACCTTCAGCAACTCATTTAGATCTCTAATTAGGCACCAAAATAAAAATGGACTGATTTTCAAAGGTGTTGAGGCCCTCAAACTCTCACTGACTTTAGTGGAATCTGAGGATTATCAACATTCGTAAATTTGTGCCTAATTAGGGATTTAAGTGCCTAAGAGTAGACACACAATTTTAAAAAATTTAACCTCAACTCTGTGTTTTGGTTTATCCATTTATAGGGACAATACTTTTCTACTATGCAGACATTTTGAGTCTTAATTAATGTTTTTGAAGTGTTTTGAGATCTTTGGATGGAAAGCAGTATGTAAGAGAAGTAAAAATTAGTCTAGCTTAATATTTTACAATTTTATAATATTACTCAATATATCACCAAAATAATCTCCATATAAAAGATATTAATCCCCACTCTTCCAAAACGTGCATACCCTGCATTAAAGGGAAAAAATGTCCACAGAGGATCTAATTTCAGGTTGTATTATACAAATTATATTATCAAAGCAAAAGGGGAATGGACTGCTCACGTTACTAGTAATGGTATAGAACTCTTAAAGAACACTGGTTCTAATCAACTCCCAGTTGGTTCGGGCCAGATTTTGTAAGGTATTTAGATGTCCAAAGATACAAATAGGCTCCTAAATACCTTTAAAAGTCTGGCGCTTGATGACTGAAAATCATTGCTGTCTGGTAGCTGCTTAGTGATCTATGAAATTAGTTGATGGTTTCAGTCCAGTTGCCTACATCAAGTACCATCATTGCAACTATTACACTTGGTGCCAGTCTTAGTAGAGAAGCCAAAGACAGAATCGGTCACATGACTAGATCGACAAAAGAACTTGGGCATTTCAGTGCCTAACTTTTAGGCACTTTGCCACCCACAGCCTGGCTCAAGCACGTAGGCTACCCATACAATGCATGGGAAGAGATGGACATCTAAGAATGGGATCACAAAAGCCAGAATAGTGAGCAGGGATCCACCTAAATTGACCAATAGGAAATGCTGAGGAGAGGTGTGGGTACCATGTGCCACCACTCAAAGGCATTAAAGTGCCTAAGTCCACACTAGACTAAGTGTCTACCTCCACTAAATATTCTCGGCCATAAACCCTCTTCTGGAATGAGGTATCTACGCTGTTTTGTTTTTTTAAGACATGCCACAGAGAAGGTGGTGGACCCCCCTTAATAATTTTTAGCTCAGTGATTAGACCATTCACTCAGGATATAGATGACCCAGGTTCAATTCCCCCTCTGCCTGATGTGGAGAAAGGATTTGAACTTGGGTCTCCCATGAGAGTACCCTAATCACTGGCTATGGCATAATCTGATACGAGTCCCTCTCAGTTTATCCCATGGAAGCTGTTCCACTGTATATAAGTAATTACATATGCACTGGAACAGAAAGAGAGTGAGAATGACTCTATAGCTGTTAGTGGCTTTGGCACTCACCTAGCATGTGAGACATCGAGGTTCCAGTCCCCCTGCTCCAATGCATATTTGATTATTTATAAAAGTGGAACAGTTTCAACAGGAGAGAATGAGAGTTACTTGTCCCAGAATACCCCATAGGCCAGTGGTTAAGGAAATCACAAAATAAAGGAAGACAAATTCAATTCCTTTCTTCACCTCAGGCACAGGAAGAACTGAACCTGGGTCTTTTACATTCTGAGTGAGTGTTCTAACCACTGGGCTAAACATTATAAGGGGGCAGTACCACCACCTCCTCTTTTATGTAGGAACACCTTCTGGATCAGGCTCTGCAGGCAAGATAGGCAGAGGAACACTTAGTTTGAGGATCCTGCTGGGGCTCAGGTGCCCAGACACCAAGACTGAGGAGGCTGTACACATGCTCCCTTGGAAAGGGAAATTCAAGCACCTTTAGACTTTAGAGTGAGACAGCAGGTGAGCAGGGATTTTGAGGATCTCAGTGGTGCTTTAACATTGGCCTTAAGCACCTAAATCGTTTTGTGGATCTGGCCCACAGTGACTAGACTTCACTCTCATCCCAAAACTGATCCTGCAGAGTGAGGCATAGGCTCAGTGACAGCCGGTAACGAAGGCAAAAACATCCCTATGTACTTTTTTTGTGAATACTTCTTCAAGAATGTCAACAGTCATCTTTCATGAGCACTAAAGTCAGTTAAAATCCCAATATGTCTTTGGTTTCAATCCTATTCTCTGCATCAATCTAAAAAAGTTGGTAAACATCTTTGATTTTTAATTTCCAGCTCCCAAGAAAAGTTTCCTGGGATATTCAAAAAATGAAATCTAGCAACATCATTTTCTTTTCTTAAAAAAATAAATAAAACAAAGTTTTAAGAAATCTGTGCGAAGAAACATAACATTTCAACACAGTAAAAATACTCCAATGAAACATAAAATACATAGAAGACCAGAAGAAAAAATAAAGGGTGAGTATTTTAAGCCTTAAGAGCATCAGACTTGATTTAGTTAGAAGCTCCTGTTCTGTAAATAACTTTATGCTGTTCCTTCTCTTCTGGTACCAACCTTTCCTTTATTCAGAAGTACTCCTCTTGACCACCAAGTAGTTTCTCTTCTCCCTGTATTTCTCTTGGTGTCTTGGAGTATGTCTATCACTGTTGTTGTAGAATGCTTACTCAATGCCATAGAAAAATTTTGAAACCAGCAACACCCCCCCGTTCGTTACCAGAGGATATCAAGATCTACCAAAAAATAAAAACCCAACCTAATTCTCAGCAATATTTCTGAAGAATCAACAATCAGAAACAATTCTAAAACAAATTGTAAAATATTTTTCCATCTGTCTATGTCAGACATTTCTAACATGCCTATCATTGTAGTAAGGGAAAAGAGCAGGAAATGCAGTCTCGCTGTCTACTTTATGTAAATGTACTGTACTCTGATATCTAGGTGATGCTCACATTAAAAATCCCTAAAAAGAGTAGAATCTAAGTCCCATATACATTGAGACACATTAATTTGTCTGTAAAAGATCCTGTACTTCATCTCTGCTCCTTTCAGCTTTTATTTTAATTCCCTCCTATTCACCCCTTATATATGTTTTTTTTGCTTTGTACTCTGAACTTTGTCAGGTTTGGTCTTGGCCTGATTGATCGATAGAGCCCTGAAAATCTGCGGATTTATATCCACAGATCATTTTTGCAGATCGCAGATCACATGTGAATATAAATTTTGTATCTAGAGCCCTACAAATCTGCGGATATCTGCTTTATATCCACGGATGGGATATGGGTACAAATTTCGTATCTGTACAGGGCTCTACTGATCTATTCCAGTAGGGAAGTTCCACATTCAAGGTGCCTTTTTTTTTTTTTTATTAAAACATTTATATCACACTGTCCTAATGACCAACAGAGAGCTTTTTTGATATTATTTAAACTTGGTTTTCCTTTTAAAAAAGAGAAGCCACCAGCACAATCAATCCTATAATACCAAACTAGAGCATACATTTAGAATAGACGAAAAACTGACTAGAAAGTTTAACAGATTCATTTCAACCTTCTGATTATGAGTTAAAAATACTTTTACAATATCTAACACTTTTCAGAGTCATTTTATGTGGGCAAAGGGTGGTTCCTAATCGGAGCTCGCAGAGGTGACCATATGTGATCGTGGATAATTACGGTTTAAAAACCATTGCATTTTTAACATGCTGTATTTAAAACTGGTTCTATAGATAGTTGAATAGTGCAGCTGAATGGGATGCTCCATTGGCAGCCAAAGCAGTAATAAAGCAATTTTTCTTTTATAAACAAAGACTTTCAGAGTTCCTTCCATCGAAATAACTAAGAATGCTTTACACACAACTGTTAAGGCAATACAATTCTGTGAGACAGGGAAATAGGCCAAGTCACTAACCATTCTGTTTCAAGGTGATACAAAGTGGTGGCAGAGCTTTTGGAAATTAAACCCAGAATTCCTTTCTCCTAGTCCTATGCTTTAGTCACAAGACAATGATAGAAAGCGATAAGAGCTTCACCAGCATGTACATGGGGATCTCAGGACATTGAGCCCCCTGGTGAGGCAAAGATGGAAGAAAGTCACTCCCTACTAGCTTAATCATGTATTTAATTGTGAAAATATGTACAGCATTGGCAAAATTTCATAAGAAATTGTAAGCTAAAAAAGGAAGCTGAGAACATTAACTCTCTCAAAAGTAGATAGCAATGGAGTTGGATTATGTTCAACTGACGGAAGGTCATCTAGAATTTGAAAGCAAAGCTAGACCTCTACATTTCAGATGGAATTTAAATGTATAAGGAACAAGGGTTCTCAAACTGGGGATCGTGAGGTTATTACATGGGGGGTAATGAGCTGACAGCCTCCACCCTAAACCCCACTTTACCTCCAGCATTTATAAAAGTGTTAAATATAAAAATGTAGTTTTAATTTATAAGGGGGGGCACTCAGAGGCTTGCTGTGTGGAAGAGGTCCCCCAGTGCAAAAGTTTGAGAACCACTGATCAAGAATATTAGAAAAGTTTCAGGTGAAATGAAAACTGATGAGAGACATGAACTATTCAATGGAAAATACACAGTAAGTTTTGGAAGTATTATTGCATCTATTTATATTTTAGAAAGTGGAAGCAGAGGCATGAAATCCCTGCTGAGAGCTCTACAGATGCTTTCATGACAGTGTTTCAGTGGTTAGGGTTCTTGGACTTAGGAGCCCAGGACCAATTCTTACACTCTCAGACGCTTCCTGTGTGACCATAAGCCACTTACTTAGTGTATGACTATCATACAGTGCACTGCTGTGGCATAAACACATCCTACATCAACTGAAGGGTTTTTTCCATCAACGTAGCTAATCCACCTTTTAGAGAGATGGCAGCTAGATCAAGGGAAGAATTCTTCCCTTGATCTAGCTGCTTCTACAGTGCGGGGTTAGATCAACCTAACTACATCAACAGGACGTTAAGTTTTTCATAGCCCTGACCAAGGCAGTTAGGTCAATCTATTTTTAGGTGCAGACGAAGCCTCTGTCTCCATACCTCAGTTTGCCATCTGTACAATGGGAATGCTAGCACTTCCCTACCCCTGCAGGGTGTCGTGGAACGTGGAGATAAATATGTTGAAGGCTGAAGCAGGGACCGGCCCTAGGGAGCGATTTCAGTACCTAGACCATCCCTCTCCTGTGGTCTCCCTGCCCTGGGGCTCAAGGCTCCTGTCCGTTAGTCGGTCTCTCTCTGGGGCCCCCCACTCAAGGCTGAGCGCCATTGACCCCCACCCCGGGCTCCGCGAGTTCACCCCGCCCCCCTCGCACACCCGGGCTCGCCGCGCCACTTCCCGCCCCGCGCCCAGGGCTCTGGGCGCGGGAAGAGCCCCCCCGCGACCCGCCAGGCAGGGCCGCGGGCCTGCGCCCTCCCTATACCGCCCCCTCCCGCTATCGCTGCCGCGCCTAGGCCCCTCTTACACGCAGCGGCCCCTGAGCTCGCCTCCCTGGCTCGGGGAGCCAGTAAAACAAAGGCAGCACGCACCGGGCACCAGCGCTTCCGGGCGGCGCCTTCCCATCACTCCTACCGCCTCGGCCCGGGCCGCGCCCGCTCCAACAATACAAGCAGGGCCCAATCAGCGCCCGGTTCTTCTGACTGACAGCCCGTTGTCCCACAGGGCTGGTTGCTCCCGCCCAGACTCCCTGATCGACAGCAAAGCCACCCAATCGGCTGTTGCTCAAAGAGGTAGGGGGGTCGGCACCCGAAGGCGCTCACTGCAGGCTTGAAGGAAGCAGCGCACGGAGAGCGTGTGCCTTCACAGCGCCACCTGCTGGGCGAAGGCGGGAGAAACTGCAATGTCATAACTATGAAGTTAGAATCTATTATGCAATTAATATTAACCATTTGTTAAATATTAATATAAAATCGCACTCAGTAAGTGGATAGTGCCCTTATATTCATGAAAGTGGGCTCTGAACCAGACTTTGTTGAAAACACTGCAAAGGACATTTGGGGTGAGCTAAATGTATTTAGACTAAAGGTTAGTCTGTTAAGTTTAGTCTTTAGAAAACATGTTATACTTTTGTTTTACATGTAACCTGTTGTTTCCATTATTCTTACTCGCTATCTCTTAAATCTTGATCATTGACAATAAACTTATGTTTGTTTTAACTATAAATATATCTCAGTGCTATGGCGTTGTACAAGGACCTGATCACTAGTTGAATTGTTGGGGGGGGAGGGATAGCTCAGTGGTTTGAGCATTGGCCTTCTAAACCCAGGGTTGTGAGTTCAATCCTTGAGGGGGCCATTTGGGATCTGGGGCAAAAATTGGGGGGATTGGTCCTGCTTTGAGCAGGGGGTTGGACTAGATGACCTTCTGAGGTCCCTTCCAACCCTGGTATTCTATGATTCTATGTTCAAGCAGGTGTGTATACTGTTCCTTTGGGGACAGCAGACCTGGTATTACTGTGAGTGTTCAGTGGATAAGGGGCTGGCCACTGCAAGGGAATGTTTCAAAGAGGCTCGGGTACCAGAGTATACCTATTGTTAACCTGCAAGGCAAAGGAAGGGCTGGCATAGCCCAGAGGAGATTGTTTGGGTGGTTAGCAAACTGGAGGTAAGAGCTGACTTCTACTAAAGCACAAGCAAGCCCCTCTCTCACTGGAGGCAGGAGGGTAACAAGGTGACTCACAGTCCTGGGTAGCTTGAGAACCATCACAGTGGCACAGTCATGGCAGGATTTACTCAGTTTGCTGTTTAGCTAAGGATCACGTTCCAAGCACTGAAGTTTGGAAACAGATAGAAAAGGTTACCGTTGATTATTTTCTATTTATATATTTTGAGTAAAGGAAATAGTATAAAAGAAGGTATAAGATGAGTAACCATAATGAACAGCAAAAAGACAACCTGATGTACCAAAAGGACTTGAGGTCTAAAAGACTGGAGGTGTCAGGAAGTTAAGCATAAGCAAAACTCTCTCTCGCTGAAGGCAGGAGGGTAACAAAGTGACTAACAGTCCTGGGTACCCCGAGAACCATCACAGTTACACACATTAAACTCCTGCTACACTAAATTCTTGTCTCTCTTGATCTCCCGGCCTAGATCTCCAAGAGACTCAACAAATAATCCTTTCTGTGGCTATGGGAAGAAGGGGTGGGGGTGTCAATAAAGAGAGTCTAACAAAACATGAACTGATAGAAGGGAATATAAAAATAAGGGAAGAGAAGAAAAGACCCTCACCATCTTCCAGCTATTTGAATGGCCAGCTCAAATAAATGGAAAAATGGTAACATTCCAGATAGATCATTCCCCTAATAAAAACTGAATTAGAACATACAGCTTGACAAAATTTATCTGAAACACAGAAAACAAACTATAATAAAATATAAACTTCCTCCCCATGGCAACATCTATCCCATTAAAAACTCTACCATTTATCCCAATAAAGATTCCAAACAGCTGTGCTAGCCCATCTCAATCTGACCTTAATAGGATCTCTTAAAGTACCCTTAACAAACTCAAACTGCCACTGGCTTCATTTAAGCTTCTCTGATACATCAGGAAAATAGAAGAGATATGATTTATGACACCTTTGACCACCTACTTGCTGGTGAGACCACGTTGCAAACACTTGTCTATCTAATCTACCCATTATTTATATTTATAGAGCACCCATCATGGTAGTATCTCAGCATAGTATCATTGAGTGACCAATCTAATAGATGTTGGGAGACCCTAAGTGAAAATGGTGGTGGTTACGCTAACCCAGGAGAATAAAAATAAAAGCCACCACAGATTTTGCAATAATGTCATGCAGTTTCCTGTTGTTCTTTGTCCAACAGAATACAGAGCCTTTCACCCCTAGGTCACTAGTCCAAGTCCAATTCAATTTTCTGCATGTTTCCTTTAGGGTTGAAACCTTTCAGGTTTGGTCTGAGTCTAAAGGTGATTTTTTTTTTAATTTTAATTTGAGAAAATCCACTTAATATGTTTCTGAGTTTAGTTGAGGTTTCTTTCAAGCCCCTCCAGCCAAGGCAGCCCAAAGGAACATACAGAATTAGCATAATTTCTGAATGCCCTATGCAGTGTCTATCAATCAGGTTTGTGGCTGCAATGACCAGCTGCTGTACCCACATCGCGGAGGATTTGCAGGCAGTTTGGGTCAGATTTTTACAGGAGTTAGGCACTGAGGTGCTTTTTGAAAATCCTACTAAGCACCTATCTTCATCTTTGGGTGCCTAAATACCCTTTAAAAATATGAGCATAAATCAGGAGTAACTCCAGATAAGTCAGTGGAATTCCACTACTGAAAAACTAGCAAATAAGACCAGAATTGGACAATATGAGGGGGGGGGTTGTTCAAAGTCAAACTCTTAAATATTAGAGAAATCATGGTGGTGACCGCTCGCATTCATAAGTAATAATGCTCCTGTATTCTAAAGTAGCAGCCTCAAACACTGCTACTTGCAGTAGTGTTACTGCCGATCAGCAGTGATAGAGTAGATCACATGTCTATCCAAGCCTTTTCAGAGTTATGCCGATTTCCTGTGGTGTGGGTTTTGGGCCTGCTTGCAGGTGCCAGGCAGAGCAATCGTGTTGCCACACTGTGCTGTGGTGCTATGTTATTCCAGTCAGCACATTTGCACTCTGGTGGAACTCTGTCACAGTCTGATGTTGACACTTTCTTAGGTTGGTGTCACAATCTCCTAGCACTGTGAAAGGGAAGGGAACAGCTACCACCAATAGCATGGACATGGGGCAACCTGTGGGAGACTACATGGCATTCATTCCCTATATTCCTGATCCACCATCTTGTGCACCAGAGTGTTGTTTTTTTTTAAACGTCTGTAGCTCTTATTGTTATGAAGATAGACTTACTTTATATTTTGGAAGATAACTGATTCAGTGACTTCTGCCTCCGTTTTCTGGACCCGAGACAATAGCTTTGAGGGGTGTGAACTGCCTCATTAATCTCCGTGAGGTTTTAACTGAGCGATCCAATTATGAGAATTCAAATGTCAGCGTCGCTGACTGTCTCACGGCTCCTCCAAGCGGGTACGAAAGGAGAAAAGGACCATGCCATGACTACCCGCACGCTTCGCTGTAAGGGACAGCGCATGTTCGGGCCAGGCCCGGGTGGCGCTCCACAGAGCACCCCACTCGGTCATCTCCAGAGTCAGAGAGGAGCTTCGCCCGGCCGAACACAGCGGGGCACCCAAGCTCCGTGGGCGAGCCCAGCAGGGCACCTGAGCCCCACCGGGCCGCGAAACAAGCCTTGACATGGGCACAACGCCCTGTGAGCGGCACCTGCCTCTGGCATCCCCACCGGCCGGAGCTAAGAAAGGCTCCACCCCAGCTCTGACCCCGCAGCTCTGGCGGGAGCTGCCTGTCACGGTTCAGTAAAGCCAAGCACGCCGAGGGTAACGGGCAAACGAGCGGGTGGCTGCCCGCCGCAAAGAACCGTCCCCTCAGACTCCCCCGTGCGCTTTCTCACGCCCGCGCGGTCCAGCACTGCGCCTGCGCAATTGTCGCCCCTTCCCCGTCGACGCAGACCGCGCCTGCGCAATGAGTCTCCATCGCCTTGGACCGTCGCTAGGTGACGTAGTTTACACCTGCGCAGTGAGTTTCCCCCTCCCTCCGCCCCCCGTAGCGGAAGTGGCTGGGGACTGGGAGCTCCAGTTCCGTCTCGGTGTTGTTCGCGCTCCACAAAATGGCGAAGATCGCCAAGACCCACGAAGGTGAGAAACGGAGCCACCCCCGCTCGGGTGCGCGCGCCTTGCGGTCCCCATGCCACGCGGCGCCGGGCCCGGTTGACCGTCGGGGAGGGGGGCAGCGCAGGCCGCGGCGAGCTCTGGGGGAGGGGGGAAGAGCAGGCGAGTGGGCAAGGCCTGTGTGTAATGGCGTCTCTGCCTGCGTCTGCTCCAGGCCCCCCCCACATACCCCACCCCGACCTGGCACCATCCCGGCCGCCCCGCTGCAGGGGGAGCGGCGAGGGGTTAGCGGCGGGCCCCGAGCGAGGAGAGCGCGGGTGGTGGACGCCGTAACGCGGGGGCGGGCGGAGAGGGGCACGAAGGCGACGCGGAGCCTGGCGGGAACGGCAGCGCTTCGTTTTTTGACGGTGACGTCTGGCCCGCGAGCACCCGGTCCGCGTCGGGTCGGAGCCCTGCTCTGGCCCGCGCAGTCGCCTCCCCGGCTCCGTGCAGCGGGGAGCCATGTGCGGATCCAGCCTAGATGTGATTCAATGACGGAAATCCCGCCTCGCTCTCCAGGCTCTCGGCGTGTTCACACTCTCGTTGCCTTTCGTTTAGAAATGCAAACACGGGTTATTGTCTCCTACTGACTAACAAGTGTTGTATCAAAGCTAGGTGGTGGTATTCCCGCGTTTACAGATGGCTGCATCGCAATCCTGCAAACGCTTATTAAATACTGCACGTTACAATTTACTGTCCTTCCACACCAGAGACTGCGAATTGGTAACACTAGTTGATCTTCTTGCGTAGTCTCTTTCTCGCTCGACCTCCTCAGTATTAATAGTATTTATTTTGTAATAAAGTAGTTGATACTGGATTGCTAGGTAGAATAGACACACTCCTTACTTATATAGTGTCAAGGTGTAATGTTGTTCCTGAAATATTGTTAGTCACTCTGCCCATGTGAGGTTATACAGTAATCTGTCATATCCTGATGAGAGCCCAGTTCTACATGGGAGGAGCACTGTTGACTTCATTGAGGCTCTGAGTGAGTGTAAAAGGATCTCTTCAAGCACAGTCAGTTGCAGGATTGGGCCCTTAATTTGTCATTATTGTAGCTGCTTTTATAAAAGGCTTATTTGGGTTACTTGTAGCCAGATTCATTTCCCCAACCGAGCATACGCAAAAACTGCCTTGCAGGACGTCTGCAATACTTCCTGCTCCTGAAATAGCTTTAATGCAAACTGAGAAATAACTAATAGAACAAGAGCTCTTAGTCCACCACACACACAAACAATTTCTATTTGAATGCATCATACATGACTCTCAAAATTAAGGGTGTTGATCTGCCAGGATTTGTCTGTGCTACCAGCCTTCATAACCATAATTTACTAGTGCAGCTCCACTGGTGGTTGTGATGGTGGCTCCTGTAATGCAGACAGGGTGCACATGTTACTACTGAATTATGTGTAAATGATGAATTAGTTGCAGAGTTTTCTATTTCAGAGGAATGCCTGTGCATGAATGCGAGCTCTTGGGAGCTCTTAATAGTTCACAAGAGCTGCAGATCTTGTTCCAGTTTGAGGGACAAGACACAGGAAAGCTTACATTATTTTGTCACGGAGGCTTTCTTTTTCTAAAGTTTGCAATGAGTTAGTGCTCTGTAGTATACATAACATATTTATTCAGGTGAAGTGAACTTGCAATTTTTCCACCTTCCTCTGCAGCATGGGGTGCAGGTCATTTGTTGGGATTACCTGGGTATATCTAGCTTTATTAGTTCCTGGTCATTTTCAGGGGCCTTGGAAATTGATGCACCTCAGTCCCTCCTATTTTATGCCTGTGGGCTGTAATACCTTGGTCTAATTTCAGTTATTGGGTGTAGTGTATAATGCTGGGGTGATGTTGGTGGCCTATGAATGTACAGGATGTCAGACTGAATAATCTGGTGGTCCCTTTTGGCCTTCAGCTCTATGGCTGTGTGGCCATGTCTACCCTATGGGGACTATAGCAGCATAGTTACAGTGCTGTAGCCATGCCAGCATAGGTCCATAGTGTAGATGCAGCATACAGTGACAGAAGGTGGTTTTCTGTCACTGTAGGAATGCCACCTGTCTGCTGTGGATTTGGTCAGCATAGGTACAGCACTCAGGGTTGTGAATTGTTCAAACCCCTGAGTACCATAGGTGTGTCAATCTAAATTTTAAGTATAGATAAGGCCTATCATTGTGCAGAGAATCTGAGTATTCAGTGGGTTGCCGGGGATACTGAGTTTCTTCAGTGTCTTTTCTGTGCTACCAGACTTCATAACCATAATTCACCAAAAATGGTAACAATACAAATATAAATTCCAGTCTTGCAAACATACATATGATTAATTTAACCAGCTTCATACTCCATTGGCTTTAAAGGGACTATGGACTAAGCATGAGCATGTTTGCGGGGTTGGTTAGTCTAATTGCCAAGGTGTTAGCTTTGGATCACAAATGAAATGAGTTTTTGTTTCATACTAGTTCTCATAGTATATTGTCAACATGAATAACCACATTTATGTTTTGGAAATACTTCTTTGGTAGTGTATTCAGTGTTACAACTGCGGAGTGTTGTAGTATATAGCTAAATGTTCCAAGAAGGATGTCTGAGAAAAAATATATCATAAAGCAATTTTCCAGGGATCAGAACAGAGAGATTAACAGCTTCAAATTCTTATTGTCAACTGGATAATTTAAAGGGAAGCTGTCAGGTATATTTTTGCTTATTTGAGCACCTAAAAGTGATTCGCTAGAAACAAAAGTGAAACTGAATAATTATGCTCAATGTCCAGACTAAGGCTTTGTCTTCACTACGGACCTTATAGCAGCACAGCTGTACCACTACGTAATTAAACTACCCCCAAATACGACCAGCATAATTAAACTACCCCCAATGAGTGGTGTTAGCTGTGTTGGCAGAGTTTTTTTTACAACCCTGACCAAGAAAAGTTTTACTGACAAGTGGTAGTGTAGACAAAGCCTAACTGAAGTAGACAAAAAATAAACAGAGTGAATTGGGAAAAGTAAATTAAACTAAAAATATTTCTTCTTTAATATAATACATTAATACAAGACCAGATTCTTATACCTTTTCTCACATTGAATAGAACCTTACGCCACAAGCAGTCAATTGAAGTAAATGGAGCTGTTTGTGGAGTAAGGTATTACCAATCTGAATTAGGTTATCACATTCTGGCGTATGTGGGGGGAAAAATGCTTTTTCCAAATTATTTTTAACTTGAAGATATCAGTTGTGTTTGTAAAGACTCAGTGCTCAATACACGTTTTTATAGCTAAATAATACTCATGATGCTATGCTTTATTTAAATACCATGGTTTATAAAAGTTACAAAATAGGGTGAAATGCAGAAAAGGAAGAATTAATACTTTCATGCTGTCAGATATTATAATTTTCTTTTTCAATATTAAAAGCAAAGAAAGAATTGGAATGCAGTTTTCTTTTGAGAAAAGGATAGTTCCTCTTCAAACTTAAATTAACAACTCTATATATTTATATTAAGTTCCCAAATCAGTAAGGCACTTAAGCAAATGTTTTGCTGAATCAGGCCTGAGATGACGATAGTTTAATTTCGTCAGAATTTTTCAGGATAAATAGGAAAGTCACCAAGCTCATTAACTGTCTTTAAAAAAGCCTTTTAACTGATCTTAAACTAAAGTCTTTGGTGCCTAACATAGTACTTTTTAAATATGCAATCATGCTACCTGTCTTTGATTTTCTACACTAAGCGGGGCTGTGTCTGATCAGGAGTTGGATGAGTTATCTCTTACAAAAAACCCTTGCTGAAGCTTGCCTCTGCGATGTTCACTGAGTTTTTCTTTTTAAAGGGGTGTCTTCACTGGACTGTATTGCCACAAAACTTTCACTATTGCTACAACATGTTCAGTTCTATTGGTAGTAGGACTGATAGGGCTTCAGAGGGTTGTTTTAAGCACTGTCACACAAACTGATCTACACAACATAGTCCTTAAGACGTGACAGATATTGATGCCTTGGCTATTTGAATGCTATCTTGGGGTAACTGAACCACTGGTAATTATGGGAAATTTTTGCAGTATGTTCCTGCTGAAAACAACCAGTTGTGTGGGTACACAAGGAATGCAGAATTGGGGCTTAAATCAATGCTGATCTTACACTAAGAGGCACTGTGGTGTTTTAGTTACTGTCTTTTTGAAAAGAGATAAAGTACTAGTCTGCTGTGAAAAATATCATAAAAGTGGCATGGTGAGGTTCCATAGTCATTGTATCTTAATGATTCCATATCAGATTTGCTCAGTTTACAATTAAAATCCATTTTTCTGTCCAGCAGCCCTGAAAACTGCACCTGAGCCCTCAGACTGGGTTCTTTAATTCTCACACATGATAATCAGTTATAAGGATTTGTCAGGTCAAATTATTCCCTCAGTTGCAGATGTACAAAACATTCCCTCATAATTCCTACCATAATTTGACCTGCTGTGTTTTTTAATTATTAGTGACAGTGTGTGAGAGGAAAGGAATCCCGCTTTGATTTCAGATACAATTAAAAAGATGTTTTTTTTCTAAACTAAGCCATTTTTATGTGGAATCAGTGACCCACTATAAACCCGGAATCCTAAAAGGCCATTTTCAGAGACACTTCAAAGTTAGCTTGATTTGACTCTGTTTCTATGTGGCCCAAGATTTCAAGATTTTAAAATAAGTTTTACAAAACTTATTTTAAATAGTTTTTAATGAAAGTAAAGTTTTAGGCAGCAGGCTGGGTCACAAATCATGTAAAATTTTAAAAACTAAACAATTTTTAATTTAGTTTTAAAAATTTTACATGAATTGT